TCCTTTCTATGCGAAACCTGGGCTTTTAAGAAGAACTAAATATTAGAAAAGCATGGAACAAAACTAGATCATAAACGAATGCAGACATTCATGAAACCAATTCTAAAGTTAACAGTGGAATGGTTGCAACAAAAGAAAATGGACAAGGAACAAATACGCATGATTAAAGTGTTGAAACAGTTACATGAAAATGAAATGATGAATAAATAAAATTAGTTCTCCACAAAAAGGCAGTCTGGTAAATTTACCGTCACTCAGTTTAGTTTGAGTATTACAATATATTATCTCCCCTTAAAAGATTGCTCTTCATTCATTCAGGGGTCTGTGGTGTTCAGAGGTATGAACAAACAGCAGCCATCCACACATCAATGTTCTCATTAAATTGTTTAATTACCAGATCAAGACACGCGTTGTGTTTCATAACACAACAGCAGATGACCGGCTGCTCTCTACTCGGGCTCGCAGACTCAATCCTTAGTGGCTGCCTATTTCATAAGCATTTCAAAAGTGTTATACACAAAATACATCTTATAAACCTTCTATTTTATTCAGAGAGGCAATATAACTGAGGGCCTCGAAAAAACAGAGCATCACACAGGAGACAGCTTTTTCAGCCATAAAAACATTATAACACATATATAGATCTAAAGGTTGGATTAAACATAACTAAATAGTTCTACTTAGTAATTAAAGTATTAAAGACAAGTATTCTACTTTATAAAAAGACACATTTCCAATAACTTTTTTTCCTTTATCTTGATCAAAGATGCATAAATGTATCAAATCCATTCTTTAACCCTTTTTAACTAAATAATCAAAGTGCTTAATGTTAGATAAAGACGCAGAAACCATGAGGAACACGGAGATACTCAGATCTGTTACACAGGGGTGATAACAAGTTGCCCTTTGGTGAAGTGCCACCATAAAGACTAATTTCAACAAATTCTTTCAGTCATTCTTGCTCGTGACGTTCTCAAAGAGCCATTACTTGTGTAATTTGAACAAAATTTTAAACAAAAAAAAATCAATGCAAATTAAATGGACTTAAAAAACTATTTAGCTCAGGCTAAACATACATGAGAAATACAAATATTTCGAACAAGAATAAAGAAAAATATGCATGAATAAATCAATTGAAAACCTTTGATATTGGTAGTAAAATTCATCAGAATATAAACTGTAAAGTAATAAAGTTCCCACAGGCACTTGTCAGATCCAAAAATGTGCAAAAGATAAACACATAAAATGCAGATATGGAGTTTTGGTTTTTCTATTTTCCATAAGCTCCAGTTCTCACTCTTCCTGCTGCTCCTCATTTTGCTTCTTAGGCATCTGCAAATGGAAAAAAAATACAATGAGTTTTAAAGCAAAATGCAACGGTGAATAAAAAATATGGCATGAAATGTCAACTGCAGATATTTTCCCAAGACCAAAAAAAAAGTAATTGTTTTTCAAGCTCTGCAGGCACCAGCTTGCACCTGAATTCTTCATCCCCTTTTCCACTGGCTCCTCACCTGGGGTCTCTTGAAATCCATCCGGCTCCACTGAGGTGGTCTGAATTAGATTTGCAAGCTTACAGAATCTTATCTGATTTACTGGGATAACCACTAAGTGCATGATGGTTCTGTGTTTTGCAAACTGTCAGAAAAATGGCAGAATTCTTAAAACGTGCACAATCTACAACTTTTGTAACAAAAGGCAAAAACATTTGTTTTGATCTCGTTGACACTTAATGTTAACATTAAAGAAATACAACAGGTGAAAATGCAGAAAATAGGTCTGCCCTCTGCCATCTACAGACCTCCAAGGTCTACAGAGTCACCCTCATACTCCGTTAGAAGCCAGGCTCAAGCATTTTTTATTGACGGCCTTAAACTATGGCTTTGTTAGTTGACTCTCACTCATTAAAGATTTTTAGAGTCCAACTACATATTAATCTTTTTTTTTCTCCAGCAACATTTTGGAAGTGGAACAATCTTCAGGTCATGTGAGGGAGGAGAGAGGATAAAAACAGGCTGAAAATATCCCAATGAGATGAACCTTTTATAACTCAGCTGATTTTATAACTAAGCTGACAAACTTGCACTTTGGTCCCTTCCCTGAAATGAGGCCACTGATGTCTGACATTTTAAACAATTATCACAAGCCCTGATTTTCATACACTTTACAGAACAATGTTTTAGTGCATTTCAGATCATTTTATTACATCTCTCTTACAGTCTGTTTAAACCAGAATTCATCTGCCTTTCTTAATGTCTTCCAGGCCATAGTTTAAATAGAAGATACAAGATTTTAAAATGTTAAAACCCCACTCATAACCAGAAAATTCCTCTAAGTTTATTCTCTTTCATTTTCAAAGGTTGAACAAGCTAGACCTGGAATACTTAGAAGGTCAAATTAAAGACCAAAACTACAGGAAACCATGTCCGAACTGAACGGTTCATCAGGATTAACTGTACCTTTGTTATTGGGTTTCTTCTGTTCCCTTCTTTGTTTTCTGGGATGTGGAGTCTGATGAACCAGTTCAAATGAGAATATTAACATCCAAACCAAGATTAAACAGCTGTAAAATTAAATGATCGTAGCCCTAAAACAGTGTAAATTGTTGAAGCTAAAAACATTCAAATTAAACTTAAAACATTTTTACCCCTTTAATGAGGCAGAAGCAGGTGTCTCTGGGTCATAGAATGGTAAATGAGCCCTCTCTGCTTCTCTGCTATCCTCTGGTCCATTTTTCACAGAGACATCACAGTTCAGCGTCTTTTTTTGATTCTGAACTTCTGAGTGACTTCTTGGCCATCCTCTTACGTTTGGTTCAGATGGTGGGTCCCTGTCAAATCCAAAGTCCTCATCCAAATGGTGAGCTTCATGAAAACAGTAGACACAATTCAATTAGAAACTCAGCAACCCCAAAATGCTAAATATATTCAATATATAATTTTTAAACAGCATTTTGTCTTTATAACACCTTATAACACCACAGAATACAGTAACTTGAAGAATATATACTCTGAAGAGCAGTGTGTTTAACATATGGTAGGTCTTGTAAAGAGCTTTTCACTTTTAAAATGTTGACAAAATGCATTGACCCGGAAAGAAAATGCTAAATGTTAATTCATATTAAGTTAGACCCCTGTCACAGAACACATGCCGTAATTGATCTTTCATATATAATATGAATTTTTTACCCTGATAATTTGTCGTCTTCTGAAAATCTGGAGACATCTGCCCAAAGGCATCTTGAGTCAAAGGTTTTCTGATGGAAGGCTTTGCTGTATTATTCAGTGGGTGGGCGTTGTTAGGGCGCATATCACATTTGTCCTGAAAATAGAAATAAATTAAACATACAATGTTTAAAAAATTAGAAGATGCCTATGCAGGCCCTTAAGTTATAAAGTGGCGATCGCCACTGAGGAGACAAGGGACTTATCTTAAAACTAAATGCTGTAAAACACCCCACAAAAGGTCAAAATAGTTTCCCTTCATATGCAATACAAAATATCGTCTTCCTGTGTTTGATACCTGGTGATGGAAGACAACAGCCTCCTCAAGAGCCACGCCACAGAATTCACATGGAATTACAACGTCGCCCTCTAGTGGACTGGCTGGGGGGCTGTAGGAGGCGGGCGACACCGACCGGGGGAAGGTGGGAATGTTAGAGGCAAGTGTGTTGGGAAGGCTTTGCATCAGTCTTGAAGCATTCCTGCCCATTCTGTCCTCTTTGAATGGAGATGGGGGTTGCTTGCTAAAGGATGCAAAGGCAGAGGCGGGACTGCACCCGGTCTGAAACAAAGAAGCAAAAAGTTAACAATACCAAACTGGCTTGAGCCGAGTCATCATGATGTATATGATGAAACGTATATATATATATATATGACATACAATGTATATAGATTAAATGAAGCCACCGTTCACATTCCATTTCACAGTGAACGGTCCAAAAAACAGATAAAGCATGTTTGTCTGGGTTTAATCATTTTACACTGACTCAACCAGAGAATTCCTTAACAAGCAATGCAGAGAAACAATTAGTTCTCAGTTACTGCGTAAGTCATCTGCGTCAGGCTGGTTTGAGCTGTAAATCCAGTTCAGATTGCTTTTGGGTTTTACTATAATTACCATAACTGAGATAACTACTAGGATAACTACTCGATGTCTTTATTTCACTGCCAACAGGTCTTTTCACTCAATCTCTTCAAGTACAAGCTTTTGATTTTTGGCCCTTGTTCATATGTTAAACAGTTAAGAATTAAGGAGTTTTAAACTAACGTAAAAAGATTAAATTAATTGTATCAAAAATATGATCAGCATCTCAAAACCTCATAACAAAGAAATGTGGTTTTGTCTAATCTATAATTAGTTTCCTTACAGCTGATATATTATTATAATTATCATTTTATCTTCATTTGCACACCATGTTAGCTGGATAAAACAAACAAAAGCATCATGATTTAAATGTTGAGCTATAAAAAAAATCTCAAACCTGATGCAAAATTAGGTCCTCTTCTGGAAACAGCTCTTCGCAAAACTCACAAGGTAGCATAGCATCTACAGAGACATTTTTCATTGTTACATTAACTACAGTGTAGTAACAAGTCATATTATCATCTGCATTTAGAAATACCTGTTTGATCGTTATCTGGGTTTACACTTGTGCTCGTCCCACCAGTGAAGTTAGGGTAGTTGTTGTTTGGTGGGGAAAGGGAAGAATTTACAGATGTGTTAGACTTCCCAAAACTGTGGTGCCAGATATCGCTCCACACGCTGCCATCTACACCTCCAGCCACCGATTCCCCATCACTTTGCAGGCTGAGAGCCAACATATAATCGAGACCTGACGAATCTTCATCTGGTGTGTGTTCACTTGGTGGCCACATACTGCTGCTGCCATGCCGAAAATCACCCTGGTCCAGGACTAAGAGGAAAATCAACCAACGAATTTCATTTTTACAGAAATGGAAACAAAACATAGTAAGATTTTTAAATGGATAACAAACACTTTGTTAGAGACCTGGCAATGACTGCATAAATAAGCTTTTTAGGTCCTTTTTCTAACACTTAAAAAGAATAAATCAATACACTCACAGTGGCTAAAAGGTGTATTTTGAGGTGCAGCATTCTTCCATTCTCCTGTGGCCTGATGTCCCCTCGAGGTGTTGTAAACTGAGGGGTTGAATGGACGAGAAAAGGATTGCTGCTCTGCTGCACTGATGTTATTATTCTTGGGACCTCTCTCTTGAGCTCTCAAGGGATTTCGGATGGAGTGGGCTTCAAACCATGCACCTGTAGGCTGTTGCTCTGCCGGGCTGCGACTCATCCGACTGTTGTTGCTCTCTTGGGGTGGTGTGAGGCTTCCACATAAGACTGGATGCACTGCTTGTTCTCGCAGCATTATATTGCACTTACATCGAGGGCAAGGCTCAGTGCGTGTACCACAATAGTCTTCGTGCTCTTTCAACTGACTAAAAACCACCTCCAGTTCACAGTACTGGCATGGGACCAACCGCTGAGAACACTCAGAGCTCTGCAAGACACAGTCAAAACAGAATGAACAAATTTGGTTGAAAGCAAAAACACGAAATACAGGGAAAAGACTGCCTGTCATACCTGGTGAACCTCAATGTGATTCTTATCAATCCTTAGTCCGCACTTGCATGTAATCTGAAAAGAAGGTTTAAATCATTTTAGAGATATAATCACAAGCTTTCTAATCAAAGATATTCTTTAGGACTAAAATGTCTCCGCCCATCACAAGACTACTGTCAACTTGTGTACCATCTACTTGATCTCTCTTTACTTGAAAAATTGTTCAGTGCAGCTTGATCCACAAAACAACTAATCATCCAAGAGATGTTATCACTTTCTTCACAGATCTACTCATAGATGGATGGATATTCACAAAACGCATAATCTTTCCACCCAATAGCTCAAACTAATGTCAGAGCTTCAGTACTACGGCTCGGATGCACCTGGGTATGTTCCTGGAGCTTGTGCTCTTGAAGATCAGACCGGGGGACAGGCTCCTGGCACACATCACACAGCTCAATGTTTCTTCGACAGTGAATCTCATGGGTAGTAAAATTGGCCTCTGGAATGTCGTGCTTGCTAAAAATGCAATAGAAATAATATCCATATACCCTGTTCAGGTTAAATTCAATCATACATGCTAATCAAAACACTTCAGTCGTTCATACTTACCAGTTGCCACAGAACTGTGTTTTTTCGTCCGCCATGACTTTACAAACGCCTGTGAACATAAAAACGTAACGTTACTGAGCATGTCAGACTTTTAAAAAAAGCCCCGGGAGGAGAGTACAATTTAAAATATAACAAGAAATCCAACACTATTGTCTACTGCAGGCACTGTTTATTGGCTGTTAAGAATGGCAGGTGACATCAAAACATTAGTGTAAACTTGTAGCGATGTCTGTTTTTAAAGTCCAGTTAAAGATATCTCCATGGATCGTGGAGGTGAGTGTAAAGGCCATCACTGTGATTTACTAATTAAATTGATTGACAGCCCTTTCGGTTTACTCACCTGGTGTTTCCAGGCAAGCTATTAATCCTACCTTACGAATAAAAGACGATTCCCCGTCAACCTTAATTTTAAAAAAAGTATCTTTCAAAAACTTCAGTAATTTACAGAGTTAGCTCTGTTATATTCACTTAGCTATGTAGCTTAGCATTAAAATGACAAGGAACCAACACGTAGCGTTAAGTTACCGCTAACTTTGCCTGCGACGTAAAAAGCACTACCACGTCTAGAAGCTAACGTTTTGGCTATTGTAGCTTCGTCTTTCACGCAAATTGAAGAAACTAGTATCTAAATAACCCTTTTGACCGCTGATAATATTCAACCAAACTCAGAGACGTTAGCTCACTACTTGACCAGAAGTAGCTGTTAAATACTGCTTTGTTATTTCCTCCTTTCCCGTGATGGCGTGTGGGTAGCTTCGCCCAAAATACTGCCTCTCAGGATACTGTCCTTGGAATCAAAATAAGCAAATCAAAATGTATACTGACAGTGTTGAATATTGATGTCAGTGTACATCGTAATCTCAAATACTAAGCCCACAGGGGAAATAATCAAGAGACGAATGTTATAGGGTCGTGAAATGAAAAAATGTTCCTGTAAATCTGAACTTCGGGCAAAAATACTCCATGAAGTATTTCTCTGTGTTTTCATTGGTTGAATGGAAAGTGTTCACCACCGGAAAATGTCCCGGGTGATACATCCGCTTTTTCACGCACGTACCTTCATGTATATTTTTTCCCATTTTAATGTTAATTTTTTTTTTTAATCCAGTGGTACATATGTACCAACACGTTTGCCATTTAAATTAATAGTAAACACATTACTAATAATTTCTAGTAAATGGGCATAAGATGATGATAAAAGTAATGAAACATTTACAAAAATCCATTGTCCTTTCAAATTTTATTACTTTTTGATCTATCAATACTGTCATATCAGACATTTTCATTTCATTGTAAGGCACAGTCTTGTTCAGACAAAACACTGATTTTATTTACAGTACATGTTTAAATGTGGGAAACACATTCTCCAAAACCTCTCTCTGTGTATATTACTTTTGAATGATTGGACCAAAATTGTAAAAACATAAACATATTTTAATTGATTCCAAAACTCTATTCTTTTGTAGAAATTAATTTTACAATGCGATATGAAATGTAATGAAAGGTCTAAAAATATAGTGAAAACAACCAATACATAAAACAGTGACTGAATATAGACAAGCCTTTTGACTATGAACTTCAAAGAATGCTGGTTTGATATTTTTGCCAAGCATTTCGTAGGCCTAAAAATAAAGTGAATTAACCTTTAGTTCATATGGTTGGAAAGCTTTCAAGTATACATTTGTCTTTGCATGAGAGCATTCTCTCTTACAAAGTGGTAAATTACAAAATGAATACTTTGCTGCCTCAAATCTCACTGGTTAGTTCCTTGTGAGAACTCATTTAACCGTTCATAATTGGTCACACGATTGTCTGATATAAAATTAGGTCAAACATGAGACAAGGAAAGAAAAAAATAAACTATTCCCTTGATCAACCTTTGAAAGACTGAACATTCAGGAGCAATATTAGCTGCATCAGCTCTGAAAATGAAAGTTGCAGGCAGCATAACGTACACTGTATGTGGTGCTTACACATTAACAAAAGATAGAACAAGGTGTGCATGACTAAAATTTCCAAGACATGGGGGGTAATATGTAGGGGGAAAAGGAGTGATTAGGAGTTCTTGTTCAGCACCACAGAAATGAACTAAAATAACAGCTGGAGTAAAAATTCACATTACGCTAATCAATCTGTTGACATCATGATTCTACAATAAAGCTCCTCAATACAGTTCATTTAACTGTGACGGTAACTAAATACTTCAGAAGACTGCGTAACTATCAACTCACATTTAGCCATTTTCAGAAAAAATGGAAAAACAGAAAACTGTGACTAAAGCAAAATAGCTGAAAACAGTCTATGGCAGTGGCCTTTTATATACTATGTCTCGATTATCTATAAATGCATATCTTTTAAATTTAACTCATACTTAAGGGAGACTCAAAGATTGCAACAATAATAACCATGCTGGTACATGTGATAGTGAGTTCAGATAAGTTATACATCTGTTTCTGCCTTAATTTAATGTGTTGTTAGAGGGTTAAAAGCCCACACAAGAACTATTTCATGTCACTATCTTTCTTGCCATCTTTCTAGTTACTGTCCCTTTATGCAAACAGACAACTTAATAAAAGACATAACATTTGGATATTTGGTCAGTCACAGCAATTCTAATATTTCATAAAGAAAAAAAAAAAATTGATAGCTTTAAAGTGTTTAGACCAAAAAAAATAAAAATAAAAATACAGCACAGCAACTTCTGAAGAAAAGAGAATGTTTTTTCAACCCAAAATGTTCTTGGTCCAATGTAAGAATTAAGCGAGCTACTGTCAGAGTCAACAACCACAGTCCTGTGGGTAAAAAAATCTTTCTGTATTACAACATCTTATCGAAATAAGCTAAAGTCTGGAAAAAGGCTTGAAGACAGCATATAATGGAAAAATACAAAAGGGGACGTACAGTTCAAACATTCAGGAAATGCAAACAAGGCACAGATCTTAAGAGTTGAGGCTAGAAGTGACAGAGGTAGAGAAGGTCGAAGAAGGACAAAGAAGAGAAAAATAGCTATTTAACAAACAGAACATGTGTGATGAAATGTCTATCTGTCCTTGGATCCAAGCTTCTCAATCAAGTCCTGCAGGGGTGCAAGCTCTCGTCTGTCGATAAGGTTGAACTCCTACAAGCGGAGAGAGCGAGAGCACGATTAACCTCTGAAACAAATTGTTACATGTGGTTTGGTCCTTTATAAAATGAGACAACAACAGCAGATGCTCAGGGAAACATTTATCACTTAGGGTAGCTTTTGACTCTGAACGGCAGTGATATGCAAATAGTTTCTACGGTTGTAGCCAAGGTCAACTACAAGAAAACTGGTGGTTCTCAGAGGGGAAGTTATGTGTAACTTTCTGGGGGGGAAAAATCCACTTCATACTGTTATATCAGTTTAGAAATCCAAAATACTTTTTCTTACGGAAATACCTACATATTTGACTGTTTTTTTAATATCAAACCATTCATCCAACAGCCACAACAACCTTTATTAGCTTTAACTCGGATGTTTCAGTATAACAACCCACCTGTTTCACCCGAGTACGATTTAGCATTATTACCAAAGCAAAAACTTAATAGCATAAAAAGACCTTCCTAAAATGCTTCCAGGAGCTGGGTATAATTCGCAATCTTATTTGTAGATTAGCCCTAAAGGAAGAAATAACTTGTTCACAATAAATGATAAATAAATAAATAATAATAATAGTCCAAAAACTAAAGCACTCAGAGGTCCATTCACAGCTGAGGCCTGCACAGCAAAAAGCTGCACCACCGCCGGAAGCTTCTGATTCATGAACGCATGCAAGTGTGCACAAAATCTCACCTGGACAAAGAAAATGAAGTGCTTAAAGGAGGTGTTGAGGTGAGCCTCCTCTTGCAGCTGCATCACTGAGTCAAAATGCTGGTGGTAGATGTGGGCATAAACTCTGAACAGGCGCTTCAGGATGGTTTTAGCCACGGACATGAAGTTCTTGGGGAAGGGAACTCCTATGGGACAGAAGGAGGTGGAAAATGATGACGTTAAGAGAAGTGCGTAAGCCGTCTCAGCCTCAACTTCATCCCTCAGCCCACATCAGACTTCAGGTCCCAGCGCCTCCACTTTCACCTCGCTCTCCTTTTTAACGTTCAAGATCGAGTCTTAAAAGTGGCATATCAAACAGAGTAGAAGTGAAGTGTAGTTACACATAAAAAAAAACTGAGAAATTGAACCATTAAGTTCTGCTTGATTGAAAGTGAATACTTTCACTTTCAATGGGACACTGCCACAAACGGAAGAGAAGAGCAGTGGAGAGGTTTAGACATAGTTTCCACTTGTAAGATTAAAAAAAAAGAAAAAGAAAAAAGAAGGCATGTCAAGATGAATCCTGGTACTCAAGTCCCCTCAGTTGGACTGACGACAGACCTCATGACACCGTTCGGGTGACCACAAAGCCGCATTCCTCTAAACTGACTGAACTGCTGCTTATTTCAGAACCAGTGGCTGTTTTCCTGTGTGTTATGAATATCAGACGATTCACTTAAGCTCACCAATCTTTGAGGGGAAAAGGGTCTCATCGTCCAGCTGATCCTGCACCCAGGTCATCAGGTAGTCGATGTACTTCGGTGCGGAGCATTTGATGGGCTTTTTAATATTTGTGCCATCGGCCCAGTGATACTCATACCTGTGAAGAAAGAACTTATGCTCAGAGCATGAACTCGCCTTTCTGTTAGGATGTGAAAGGATCATATGGAAGCAGATAAGCTACAAAAAAAAAAAAAGTAAAAAAATAGAAGGGGAAAATGCAAACCATTTATTCTTGACAGAAGCTTTGTTAACAGGAAGTGCACCCCTATCTCTTCCTACTGATTAGAGACAGAGCACAGACATCTTGGCAGTAGGAACTAGAGGAAGTGCCAAAAACTAGATTCGAATAACAGCGTCTGCAGGGACCGCATGCAGTTTAATTCCTGTTTCCTCATGTGACATTCAGAAGAAGCATTTCAATTTGATTAAATGTTACTGCAACGGCCATTTTAAGAGATCAAATAGTGGATCTTATAATATATGAAACGATGCTTCAGAACAGGCCCGAGTGTGAGAAATTAAATTAAGATGTCATTATCAAGCGCAGCTCACAAGACTCGAATTTATCTGTCGAAACAGAAGTTGGCTCAGTCTCAAGAATTTCAAATGTCAGCTGAGATTTTTGGTTGTTTTTTTTTTCAATTCAGGAGCACCGTGCCCCCCCCCCTGGACAGCTCAAACTGAATAGTCCTTTCACTGGTCTGAATCAGAGAGGGACAATAGTCAGCTCACCCAAAATGAGCATTTAAAGACAACTTGAAAATAAACAACAACAAAAAACTAAGAAGTTGATGGTTTGATCTATTTTCCTTGGATAATACATCATGACATAAAGCAGGATCATCCAAACTGTTCATCAACACCAAATAAATAAAGCAGCTAAATGGCATTAATCCCATGTTTCACACTTAACTTTCCTGCTGTCAAAACATCAGATGTGGAAAGACCTCAAAGCAGGAAGCATAAAGAACTAAAGGTTTGCGTTACCTTGGTCCTGCAGACATCACAGAGCAGCTGGTCTCAGTGCAGAACTCAGTGATGGTGCCATACAGCATGTTGATCTGGTTGAAGAAATCCACCGCTAAAGGACAGAGGCTAATGTGAATTTTATGATGTCATTAAACATATGACATCATACCTTTAAATAAAATGAATAGTACGATATGCAATTTTGAGATTGGATTGACAGTCCAATGTCACAACAGACAAATCACTAGATCTTTTAAGTTGGATTTTTGAGATTGATCACCGATTGCTCGATTGACCCAATCGATCACATGGTTTATCTGAGGTTTTTAACTCTTTTAGTGTTGAATCAGTTATCAAATGCTGTCTGTGTCATTCTAGAAGTTTTGGCATGTGAAGGTATCAGGCTTAAACAGCATCGGCCTCATCCTCTCCACAATTACTGGGAACCAAAAACATCTTAATTGTAAAATTTTCTTCATTTGAGAGTACAAAACATGACAGAACCAGGTGAGTAAAATATTTACCGTTTATATGATTTGTTTCTGCGCGTGTACGAGAGTCTAAATAGTTGTTGGAGTTCACTTCCGTTTTGACTTATGCAGTTAATAGCAAACCGACACTGCGCTTATTTAAATTTAGAAACAATGTTGATCAGCTTCAGCGTCAAATTATTTATGAAGAAAATATGCCGACCGATCCCTTTCTATAAACATGGCAAACTTATACAAAGACGAATACACTCCACTATCTTGTTTTGCTAAAAATAGAAAAATCTAAATATAATTTTTGGTAATTTCCAAGGACTAAAAAGCAGAAGTGATGACTGAGTAACATGTGTTCACAGCAAAGCAAAAACTAAACAAAACTGGAAAAATTCACTTAAAAAACGCATCGACAGCTTCTTCCAAACAGTATGCAAATACACTTGCATACAATAAATATCCAATAGAGTAATACTGCAATTTGAATACAATATTTCAGGGGAAACAAACATATGTAAACATGGAAAATGACACAAGGCCACTTGCTAAACCTTCTGCTATAAGAGAAATGCATCTTCCATGGCTGTCTACTCAACCCGACTTTTATCACCAAGATGAGGAAAAGGCCACTTCATGATGTTGGATGGGGTTACACAGCAACTCTCATGTTCAGTGGACCTACTTCTTTTAACAATCTTTTATTGCCGTCACTAGAGGTTCACCCATCTTGTGTATTCTTTTTCTGAGGAACCAATAATGCAGGATAAGAAACGACCAGAGGGTGGCCGCCCTGTCGCACACAGCTGAAGTTACCGGAGTAAATGGTTATTTAAAACCCAGGTGTGTGGTATATTGTATCCCTGCACTCACTGTTGACAGCAATCCATTCATTGAGATCCTCTCCCTCTGGCAGCATGACGGCCTGTCTCAGATTCCCGCTGCCCAGAGTTGCCTCAGCATGCTTGAGCAGCTCGTACTGGTGGGAGCCCTCTGGGATGTTCTTCTTCGGCTTGAAGGTCTTAGATGAGCGACTGCCACTGCAGACACGTTAACACAGGGGAAAACAACAGTACGTAAACAAGGAAAGACTTTGCCACTTCTACCTGCATGCTGCTCGATGTCTGAAGTCAACGTGAATCAAATGGTTAACAATTTAACATCCGGCTATTGGTACCACAGCTAATAAGCTGTGCTGATCATAGGCACACGCAATATTGACTGCATGCTTTTGCTTGGGGGCAGGGAAATGGCAGGAAAGTGCCATCCTCTTAGACAAACAGATCAAATTTACCCTACTTGAACCATAAATAATATTGTTTGCATAATGTTCACGGCACATACGTAAGCTTGGTGCTGTTGCTTTTGCGTCCATACACAAACCCCAAAAGGTATTAAACATCTAGAAAACGTTTTGTTCTTTATGGGATGCGTAATTATTTAAAATGACAGATCTGTACAATTTAAGAACAGAGAAGTGCTTTGGGGGAGCTAAATATAGATTGGAAGGGGAAGGGGGGAGCAGAAAACAATATTTTAGGCAAAATAAACAAAATAAACAGTTGTTTTCTCTCATATTTTCAGAAGGCAGCAGCTTTACTGGACTTGGCAGTGCTGTGTTAGGATGGTGGGAGCGGTCAGCGGCCCCTGGCCCGGCAGAAAAACCTGAAAGCTTGATGTTGTAGTTACACTAACGGAGTGTAAACGCTGTTGGGTTGGTTTTACCAACATACAACCCACTTGGACGTGCTGTGGCTTGTGCTGAGATCAACAGAGCTCAAACACGGTGTGTCATAACCAAGTTACAGTGGTTAGACTGCTGGTGCAACTGACAGGAAATGTGACTCTGACGACGTGACTGTAAACAACGGAAGATTAATTAACTCAGACCTACGGTCGACATTTAGGCACCGACTACTCGAATATTGTAAAATGTCTCAATATAAACTCTTACACAAATTAAATAAATATGGGCAATGTACGCTATCTTTGCAAACTAATGTTGGGTTTGCGAAAGTCGACATGCGAACGAACTTAGCTAAACCAAACTTTACGTGTTATTGTGTGGAAAGTCTGTCGAACTTCAAAAATGGACTGCAGGTGGTACTTCATCGACGTCTGGTGGTCTTAAGCACGAAAACGAGATATACACTTAACCAAATCATACAGGGCTGGAGAAGCGCTTGGCTGCCTGGTTCTCTGTTAGTGTCTCATTTCTCTGCTGGTAACTTCCCTTGGGGGAACTTCGCAGAAGTACTGCTAACGTTAACCACATGCACTGGCTGTAACTCAGGAAGATCTTTTAAACTTTACTTACAAAAGGAAGCTCATCCTGGCGAATAGATCGACGTCGAGCTTCAATTACAACTCCTGACCTTGGTTAAGTAAACAGGATTTTGTCTCAGAATTGGACACCACGACACACTGATCAGCGGTGCCTGCTAACAGCAGAGGCTAATGTGAACTGCACCCACTGCTTCGCTTCCTCTGTCGACCATCTGTAGCAGGCCGACGCGCACACTGCCGCCCCCTTCAGGCCGCACGGGGCTACTGCAGCGGGCCTGACAACTCAGCCTCCTCCACTAGGCCTTGTAAAGTCAAGGAGAAACCCGAAAATTAGGCGGCTTGCAGTAACCCAAAGAAAGAAAAAAGTTGACACAAGTATCCCTTTTTAACCCCTTTAATCCCAGACATATCATACTTGATACATAGATTTCTGAGACCTGTTGCATCATCATATTGTCAAAACTTTGTTTAAAAAAAGAAAACCCAGGAAAAAGGACATTTCCTTTTCTGCATTTTAGGTTTAAAGGCCTAATGATAAAAGAAAAGGTTTTTAGCTACTACTGTGTTGCATTGTCAATGTAAGATAACTCACTGTGGAAAAATTATGATTTAATTTGTTGTTTAATTTTTTTGCTATTATACATACTTCCATATTAATGGTGGAAACAGGATAATGTATTTCATTATGCTATTGTATATCAACGAAAATTAAAGCATGTACATGCATTTATACAAATGCAAACATAAATGTGTTTGGAATCTAATTCAAAAATGTTTTCGCTCTTACCTCACTTTTAGAATCATTGAAAGGGTGTATAGGGTGAACAGAATAGTGTCAGGAGGTCCCTGGTCTAGAGCAAAGTCCTTCTCTTATTTGCGCAGTGCCCCTGTTTCAAGGGACTGTTCACATATCTTGTTGGTTAATAAAACCACTAGAAGGAGGCTTTGTGCACTGAAACAAAAATTCAAGAGAACTATGAATAACCACAGTTCAAATCAGCTTCAATGACATTACAAACATTTCAAAAGAGACTCAAATTAAATACTGGCACAACGATAAAAAAAATGTAAAGGCCTAAGACATTAACAGCTAATTCTTGATTACCAAAACCAATTAAAATGATTATGTAAAAAATCAAACAATGGTGAGGGGGACTCAAGGATCACGTTGTGAAAAATAACAGAAAAACAAATGCTACAGCAGAATAATCACTAAGAAGAAACACATCTTTTTAACAAAGTTTGTAAAACACATCTGCTGAACTCGCTCCAAGGCTCCCTCAGTCAGGGCGTTGCCTGTGTGGAGGAGGGTGTGGAGGCTTTTTTACAGTCTGCTTCCAGGGGCCCACTGTGTCCTAACACTACAGTGTCATCACATTTCAACTCAAATGTCCTTTCTGCCCCACTTGTTCGTTTCTACACACACTAAGTTCACCGATTAGCCTTTTAAAAAGACCAAAAGTAAGATTATGATAGATATTTTGATGGTGTGAAAAGAGTTTAGCCTGACCTAGAAGGACCAATTTGGGTTGTTGCCGGTGTTCTATGGGCCAGATGTGTTGCAGATGTCGGCTTTGACATGGGTAATGATTAGTTTAATGAATGCATATTAATGTGAACCATGTTGGGGGACTAGTCTGCATCTTAACGCGCCTTTGTGCTTTTAAAAATGTATTTAAGTCTTCTGATTTGGGTCAGAAAGTACGTGAACAGCTGAAAGTGAGCATAAAACATTCTGGAGGGGTTGGTCTAGAGATAATGACGTAGCCCATGACGTTGAAGGGGGGGCAGGCATTAAAAGCTCTCTGGCCCCCTCCTCCTTCCCAGACGGTGCTCTGTCAGCCCCGGCCAGCTCCGTTTCGTAACTTTGCCATCTTTTTCTCGTCTGCTCAGAAATGGCTGCGATCAGGGCTCTCAGGAAACTCTGTCAACACTCCCAGCACCAGGCCTGTAAACTGCACGTGTCGGCCTCCAGGTGAGTCCCATCAGAGGTTAGCCGCCGTCTAACTGGATTCAGGTACAAATGTCCGACTGGTGAGGGGGAACTACGCTCCGGGGACACCGCGGCTCGGTCTCTCTGTCCCTCACACGGCCCCGCGGGTCCGGTTTGGGTTGTATTTGGCACTCGGAGTAGAGGTGGAGGGTTTTTGTAAGTGGTTTGTTTGATTTGGCGTGTCTTGTGTCCGCGGTGGACCGGATTGTGGTGCGCCCCTAGCGGCACGCCGGTAACACTGCAGCCCGCTGCCTGGCTGATGAAATCGATCCGAGCGCTTGCACCCTTTGGAGAGACGAGTTCCAACTGGAGAACTGGGGGCTGTTTTTTCATGGATAGAAAAACCTATACATATGCATTACTGTCAGTTTGGTCATGGATGACATGTCATGATCTGGAGGGGGAAAACATCTCTGTGCCATGCCCAAAGCTTCATCATAAACATAAGACAATCCTCATCCTTTCAAGAGGTTGAATGAAAACTTGCTGAGCTCGGCGTGACTTGTGTAAAAGTACCTATCAAATGCTGCACGCACACGCGTGAGGAAAAGCTCGTGGTAGGTGCACATGATAGATAATTCCAAACCAATGGTGTGTAATGCACATGCTCACAACATTGCTTAATTAAATCTGGAATCGCATTAGTAAAAACAACATAAAGGTACTTGTCTTTGTTGCATTAAAACAAAAACAAACATATTCAGTTAACATGCATCATGCTTGGTCATGATCTAAAATTCTTTTTTTTTTAAGATTGGGGATTTGCATTTAAACTTTAGTGAGGGTCACGAACAAATTTCTGTCCTGCATTCTCGACACATTTCCTCTAGGACGTGGTACACTGGCCCCAAGATCTCGCCCCATTGGGACCCACATTTTATACTTTTCTGCGAGGTTTAATTGGTTTTGGCAGAATAACAATGATGGTTACATCACTGTTGATGGCTCATTACACTTCAGTCATTACACATTGCTTTATGTTCGTTATGTAATGTAGAACTTTTTAGAACTGGGGCGAATTGGTGGGGCAGCACTGGGTACGCGCCTAAATACTGTAGTACTGTGCTGATTGAAAGGCTGTACGGCAGAGGCAGATCGAAACAAGATGCTGCTAATTTTAGAGGTTCCTCCGTAATCTGCATGGCTGCAAAGTAAAAACAGCTCCTGTGTCAGGTCCTGAAGCAAAAATATCATGTAAAGCAAACAAGTGGGTGCAGATTACTGTTAAGTCTGTTTACAGTCAAGCCAAAGTAATGTTGACTGAGTAGTTTTCACTGTGTTTGTTTCTCTCTATGGCTAGTGACTGCTATATTAAAGGATATGTCTGTCTGATTAACATTGTGACACAACCTGTCATTCTTTTCGACCCTCAGGCAGGAGGCAGTGGTCATCTCAGGGAGGAAACTTGCGCGTCAGATTCGAGAAGAAGCCCGGGCCGATGTGGAGAAATGGATATCGGCAGGCAACAGGAGGCCCCATCTCAGTGTGATTCTTGTTGGAGAAAATCCAGCCAGTCACTCCTACGTTCTCAACAAGACCCGAGCTGCAGCAGATGTGGGTAAGTGGATGAATGCTATCACTGATCCCTCTCATTACATCCAAAACCTGGTGGACTATTATCTAAAAGGTGAGAATCAAGAAACAGTTTTTTTTCCCTTGTGTTTTAAGTTGTTTTTTCTCACTTTGCATCCCACAGGAATCTCAAGTGAGACAATTCTCAAGCACTCGGACATCAGTGAGGAGGAGCTGCTGGACCTGATCTACAAACTAAACACAGACCATCGCGTGGACGGCCTGCTGGTCCAGCTGCCTCTGCCAGGTATACAAGAGCAGGAAACGTGAGAAGAGAAAGCTGCCGATGCATCCGATAGATGATGTGACCGTCCCTTATTTCCTGACAGAGCACATTGATGAGCGTACAATCTGCAATGCCGTTGCCCCCGCCAAGGATGTGGACGGCTTCCATGTGACTAATGTTGGCCGCCTGTGCCTGGACCAGTCGACCATGCTTCCTGCCACTCCCTGGGGTATTTGGGAGATTATTAAACGCACAGGTAGCCTGCGTTCTGCACATCATCTGACGTCTGAATTTCCGATGAGCAAGCAAATGAGAACTTTTGCCTTTTTGTGTCCTCCAGGAATTTCTACTTTTGGGAAGAACGTCGTGGTCGCTGGACGCTCCAAGAATGTGGGGATGCCCATCGCCATGTTGCTGCACACAGACGGCCGCCACGAGAGGCCTGGAGGTTGGTTACGGGAGCTTTTAATGAACGTTGCATATGTAAAGCAAATACAAGAATCACACAAGCCCGTGTTCCCTCTGTGCTGCTGCAGGTGATGCCACGGTCACAATCTGCCACCGTCACACTCCGAGGGATCAACTTTGCCAGCACACTAAGATCGCTGACATCATTGTGGCTGCAGCAGGTTGGTCGCATCATTAGTTTCCTACATCTCACTTTGAAACATGCTCACTCGGGCTCGCTGAACTACAACTAAAATTTGTTTGTGCATTCCTGGACGCAGGCATTCCCAACCTTATCACGGCAGACATGATAAAAGAAGGAGCCGCAGTGATTGACGTGGGGATAAACAGGGTGCAGGACCCCGTCACTGGAAAAAGCAGACTGGTTGGAGATGTGGACTTTGAAGGTACGCTAAGGCTGACACGTTAGCATATTTTTCATTAGCCAATCGCTGCTTCAGAACATCTTCTTAAACGCTTTGTCTACGTCTAGGCGTGAGACAGAAAGCGGGGCTGATCACCCCTGTCCCTGGAGGCGTGGGACCCATGACTGTGGCGATGCTCATGAAGAACACTATCAAAGCTGCCAAGAGCGTTCTGCAGTTTCCACCGGAGAGGATCCGCATGGCCGCCGTGTCCTAATGGGCCAGAGTGCATCCCAGCAGCAGCAACGAATTCCACCCTCTGCACACCACCACCCCTTAATATTTTTACTGGGAGCGACCTGATGAGCTCCCATTGCACACACGGACTCTTTTTACCGACGTCGAGTCCAGCCATTTTCAGCCTGTTACATTTTAGTCCTGCAGCTGAGTGTTTTATCTAACAGTATTTATCATTTGCAATATGCTTCTGTGAGATTTTGAAGTTTTTAAGAAAGCTTGAGATTGTTTTCTATTTATTGCTACAGAGATGCAATATTTAATACACTATAGGAGTCTTCTGACAGCGTCTCAGCAGACAAGCAGCTACAACTCTGCGGCTGAACACTGCCATGCTTGTTTTTTAAGTTAGTTTAGGTTCATTTGCTGAGGACGATAAAGGAACATGGATGTTTATCTGTATACAAGCTTTAAAGATTCACAATGGCCTTTATATTAACTTTAAAATAAAAATGACATTGATCTTCTCACATTGAGGCTTTCTCTGTATATAAAACTTTTTGACTGGTGGGAAAATGAGAGACTGTGATAACTGTCAATAGTTTGGTATGAAGAGATTTTTTGACGCATCTGAAACTGTTTTTTTGTTAATTAAACATGCTGTGCTGTTAGCTGCATTTACTTTTTAGTGCATCCACTTTGATACATAGATGACAGACCTCAGGTTATCAAGCTGTATAGCATCTGGTTTGTTTTGGTTGAACAGTCAAAGGTGTCCTGACAGTACACTGTCAGGTCTTTGAAAATAAATGAAAACTTCTCACATAATAGTAGTTGATTATTATTTCGTACTTATTTTTTTTTTGTTTTGGAGTAAATAGCTTTAATACGATCTAGGTCAATATTAGGCTGTCAGTCCCATGTCTTTTAAAATGTTTGAATAGTTAACGAGAAACTGGGAGGATCTGTGCTCCTCATTTAAAGTCATATCTTCAGATTCGCTAAAAGTTACAAATTTACGTTTTTCAGATGAACATATCGTTTTTCATTTATACTCGGGACGATTTTAATTTGTTATTAGCCTGTAACAAAATATTCCAATTTTATGGGACTTTCTGAATTATGTTACTTAAAGTAAACTTATTTGATGACACCTAGAACATTTTATAGCACAAAATAAAGTTATAACATTAAAGCATTATTTATGACACAATCATTTTCAGTCATTTCAGGATATTTCTTGTGATAAAGTAAGTATGTATCGCCCTCATGCTAGGTTCCCTTCCATAGGAACTAGGAACCTTAGTCATGTCCCAACGCTGCCGGAAGGAAATTGAAGACGAACAGATTTGGACACAGACGGCACAAGCGTTTGAGTTTGAAAACAAGTCGCTTTTCCGAGATGGATCGTAGTAGACCGCCCGACAGAGCTGACACAGAGAAAAAACACGACAAGAAAAAACGGAGACGATCCTCATCTTCCTCTTCTTCTTCCTCCTCGTCGTCGACTTCCTCGTCCTCCAGCAGGAGCCGGAGCAGATCATCTAAGAAAACATCTCAGAAGAAGCGAGGTTGGAACTGTTTAAGCTTGTTTTGCATGGTCTATTTATCATCCAAGTATTTTGAACACCTGTACCCCCCCCCCCCCCCCCCCCCCTAGATGGGAAACAGCAAAGGAAGAAGCGCAAGACACGTTCCTCCTCTTCATCATCCTCGTCCTCTTCCTCATCGTTCTCCTCACCGTCGAGCAGTGAGAGAACAAAGAAGAAGAAAAGCAAAGCCAAAAAGAAGAGGCTGAAGAAGCAAAAAGCGAAACTGAAAAAGCAAAGAAAGAAGGAGAAGAAAAAGCTAAAGAAGAAGCTGAAGAAGGAGAAGAAGGAGCAGAAGGAGCAGCAGCAGAAGAAGAAGGAGGAGGTGCTGCCGAGTCCGGTGGAGAAGCCTCCCTCCTTCCTGGAGGTGTGGCAGCACGACGACGAGGCGGTGGAGCTCGGGCCAGGTGAGGCATCCCTTTATCTCGTAGTTGGAGCCGAACAACTCCGGATGATGGGTGTCCTTTAAAATACCAGTAGAAATACAATATGGTTTGTTTTATGAAAGGTTTATTTTCCTTTCTTCCCACTTTGGACAAACTACAAGCTCCAGAATAAACACATATATGTTTTAACTCCCACCATTAGATCCTGTAAAACCAACGCACACTTTAACATGGTTCAGGAATTGGCTGTCTTCCTTCTGGTCCTGCTGAAACAGACCAAAATAATATCCATCCATCCATTGTCGTAACCGTTTATTCCCTGATCCGGTCACAGCTTATCCCAGTGGTCAATCGACGAGAGGCGGGGTCACCCTGGTCTGCCAGTCCATTGCAGGGCCACACAGAGACACACAAGGACAAACAACCACTCACACTCATTCATAAGGGCAGTTTGGAATGTCCGATCAACCTAACATGGAGTTTTTTGGACGGTGGGAGGAAGCCGGAGAACCGGGAGAGAACCCATGCGGACACAGGGAGAACATGCAAACTCCACACGGAACCCAGAACCCTCTTTCTGTGAGGCGATGGTGCCAACCACCACACCACCATGCCACCTGACCAGAATAATAGCAAAAACAAATTTAGCAGTTTTTGTTCTGGGAACTTTCCTGAAACATTTCAGATTGAAAATACCCATTAAAAAACTAAAAATATTATGTTGCTGTAATCTAGTAATGAGCACTTCAATATCCCAGTGACCTATTAATAACGAGGGTTTTGTTCTGCTTTAATCTCCAGTGATGACCGATGAGCAGAAGGCCCGGCTCTCCACCAAGAGGCCTCTCACCAAAGAAGAGTACGAGGCCAGGCAGAGCGTGATCCGCAGGGTGGTGGATCCTGAAACGGGACGAACCAGGTGTGACAGAGGGGGACTCAGTTTGCTCATGCCCAGAGACGAGCTGAGGGGGTCTGATACAGCCTTTTTTTTTTTCATTTAGGTTGGTGAGAGGAGAGGGAGAGATCATTGAGGAGATCGTCAGCCGAGAAAAACACAAAGATATTAATAAGGTAATCTTAAAACCATCACTTTGATTAACATGCTTTTATCTCAAAGTTGACGGTGAATTTCTTTTTTTTCCACAGCAAGCTACAAAGGGAGACGGGGATAGTTTCCAGAGAAAACTGGGAATCAACAGATAGGATATTTCTGCACTAAACTGAGTGCTCCTGAGTTTGCCTACCCTGCTTAAAAACCTTCTGAACCAAGTGCATTTTCATTCCTCGGTTTACATGAACATTTTGTCACAAAGTAAATCTAAAAAAAACATTTTGCACGCCGACCTGCCCTTCTACTTTTCTGCTGAATGTAAAGGAGAATCAAAAAGCAACAGATCAGTTATGGACTCAAGTGTGTCGAGTCAGACAGAGCACAATACAATACAACAGTTCTTAGTGAGTATCTTTTATGTTGAGCCTAATGCTTTTCACTTCAAAATATGCATTTAAATTAGATTAGATTCAGGAAATATCTGGTCAGGTAGAAGTTGACTCTGAACACTGAGACGGTTTCTTTTCATCTGATTATCTAATGCTGGCTGCATAGTTTCTATTTCATTTAAAACTGGAAGTATAATTAAAAAGCTCCATGTCTGTGGGCTGTCTGTAACTCAGACATCTAGGATGTATTTTGTTTGTCAAAGTAGAACTTTTTGAATCTGTTTCAGAAAATAAATGTTTTGGTAATTACTCTTGTTTGGTTTGTCGTGACATTGTTGTTGCCATTTGAGTGTGGGAAAGAAAAAGGCTGACATTTCTCAGGTCTTTGTATTTTCTTTATACACTGTACAGAAAGTCACAAGAGAATCCTTAAAGATACACACTCTGTACAATTGATAGTTTATCCAAGCTTGATTTACCAATTTAGGTTGGTTTATTATATAGAGTAACCGTCTACGAAACAGTTGGGAAACCTGGGTAGCAGAGCTGGAGGCAGTCAGGGACTGCCTGATGTTGATAAAGTTTATTGTGTTAATCCTTCAAAAGGTAGAGCAAACCAAAGCTTTTAAAGAAAATCTGGCCTTATCATTTACCCACAGAGAGTAAGTGAACTTCGTCCATCTACATGAAGTCAGTTTGGCTGTGAGCAGCGTCCGCTCTCAGCCCTGCCTCACAGCTCTCAGCATAAGGCAGAAAAGGGACATGTAAGGCCTCTGTTGTAAGTTTGTCCGCAGCAGAATCGATCAAAAGTGATCGTCTGCCCAGAGGTATCCAAACCACAGATCGCCGCAGTGCTTCATCTCTGCATCCGGATCAGATAATGGCGGAAGAGTTACATCGGTGCATTTTCCAAGCACGTCTCGCCCCCCCCTTATTTACTACAAATACACAGTCTTGCCTAAACCAGCATCTATCTGAACAGTTATGACATCATGTTGCATCTTTACAGGTGGAGGTTGCAGTCGAAAATAAAGTCCATCAGAGGACCTAAAGAACAGTCCTGATTTAGGGAAAGTAGGTTTCTGTGAACTGGGATGTGCAATGTTGTGTGTGCCAGATATTTCCCACAAAAAATAGTCAGGTGGAGTCTCAAAACTGAGTGTTCATTTAAATAAACACATCATTAAGGAGTTTGATATAAAACTGAAACATCATCCTCACACCCAGGTTTTATTGCAGGGATGTTTTACAAATGTGCATCATTTTGAGGAAAATGTGCCTAGAAATCCAGTTTTGAAGCGTCAAACAGGAAGTGACATTGTGTATATGTTCTAGTTCTGGAGTGAGCCCATAACGATAAAAATAAGGTTTGTCCGCAGAAAGAACCCGACCATGACATTCCACACCATTATCAGGTCAGTGCCACTTTATTGTGAGAAATCTCCACTTTGTAAAATGTGGACCTGCAAGTTTGAGTGGTGCTCAGTAGATGAGTTACCATTAATTTAACATCCGTAGAATATGAGCCAGATTGACTGATTGTCAGAGCACTGTGATGTTTCTTAAATGGCCTGTTTGATCTGGTAGTGCTGCTGAGAAATATTGCACGTTTCCCCTTACATTTGAGCCCATATTGGTCCACTTATTCCAGATCTATGCAAGCCTGTTTGAAGGACAATTATCCATTATTTCAAAGAAAAACCACCAAATATGTGTAAAATGCTAACAACAGAAAGCAGGTTGCAGCTCTGTGTCCCTAATTTCGACGTTGTATCATACAGAATTTGCACAAGTTCCTACTCTAAAGACTGAGCAGAAGAGAGATCTTTATCCCAAGGAGGGTTACCTAAGAGCACATTCAATGCCTCATTTACAGCTTAGGGATTTGCCAGAAAGAAGCCAAATCCCCACATTTGCAAAATATCTAATAACAAACAGACAGTATAGGACACGAGATAGCAGTTCTGCTGATACAACTCTGGTTATCTGCAAGATAAAATGGTAAAAACACAATACTGTGGCAGGCAAAGACCTCTGCATTATGGCTGCTGCAACTCAAGTCGAAGAGAAAATACACAACATAAAAGTAATCTTAAAACACATTTGTTCACAGAATGAATACATTTCAAAAGGACTATCATCTTAAATAGCAATAATTATCACCATCAATCAATAAAGTATATCCTGAATAAGTTTGTGTTCACCCCCAGAGTAAAGAAGACACTTGAAACTGGTCTTCAGTGGACCAGATACCAGATCTGCACTGTAATTTAACAATTATGTACACGCCTTGTTAAGGCAGTTAACTACATACTTACACAGTCTATTCCATTTTACACAGGAGACCTTAATATTTTCCTCTTTGCTCATGTACAGCATATCATTCAATTCAATTTACTTTGGCACATTAACCATACAGTAGTAGTACCCCCCCCCCCCCCACCCATGTCATCACTCAGGTGATGACATCCTATAAAAACCCAGGAACAGTTTCAGCTGCAGCCGTACTTAAAGGGTATATTCAGGGTTTGCATCATGTGGTATTTGGATAATTCAGGCTGACAGAAAAATAAGCAAACTCTACTGTTGACTGTTGAGATTCAGTCTCTGCTGCTTATTCAGTTGGAATATTTAATCTGATCCTATGTGGTGGATTTTGAAATGACTACAACATTGTTCTTTATTGTTGATAAATAACCAGTCTCTCCAAACAAAGTTTAATTTTGGCTTCTCGATTATATGTTTACACCCATCCATCTATTGTCCACTGCTTATCCGGGGTCGGGTCGCGGGGGCAGCGGCCGAAGCAGGGAAGCCCAGACTTCCCTCTCCCCGGCCACTTCTGCCAGCTCCTCCGGGGGGATCCCGAGGCCCTCCCAGGCCAGCCCAGACATATAGGCCCTCCTGCGTGTCATTTGGGCCGCTTGTGTCCGCGATCTCGTTCTTTCGGTCACTACCCAAAGTTCGTGACCATAGACGAGGGTGGGAACGTAGATCGACTGATAAATCGAGAGCTTCGCTTTTAAGCTCAGCTCTCTCTTCATCACGACAGACCGGTCCAGCGCCCGCATTACTGCTGACGCTGCACCGGTCCGCCTGTCCATCTCCCGCTCCATTCTAACCCCATTCGCAAACAAGATCCCGAGATACTCGAACCCTACAACATCCAGTTTGCACCCAAAAAAGGCAAAGGTGGTCATTCCAGTGTCACCTGAATCTCAGCTCTGCTCTCGGACGCTAAGCTGATTATCACCCGGAGAAGACTTTCCCCTAAAGTTAGTCTCCGTTGCAGTATTTGTGCTTGCACTGGCCACATTATGCAGTGACAGCACTTTATCAGAGTGTGCACTTGTTACAAACCATCTGTAACAACTTTTTGTGTTGGCTGCAACACACAGCATAGGAGTGCTTTTTTTCCAGAATCATCTCTTCTCTAAAATCCAACAGAAGAGCGAAAACTAACCTTGTATTAAAACTGATAAATATTCCCTCAACAGTAGAAACAAACACGTTATCAGCTTTACGTGCGTGATCCTATTTTAGGAAGTTGCTTTTTGAAATGTCTTGTAGACTGTTTTATAATGAGCCCAGCCTGTCCTGAAGTCTTTGATTAACATGACTGGCATCAGTTTTTGATATCAGTGGCTGGCAGCACCAAATGTCCTTGTGGTATTTACACATTTGGTGCAAACCAGTTGTTTTGAACTCCATTTCTATGTCAGCGTCACCCATCACTTCCGCAGCGACTGAATCTGTGCGTCAGTCCTGGAGGTGCTCTGGCGTGGTCTCATTTGGGGTTGAAAACTCCGGGCTCCAGCTTGGTGCTGCTGCTGCGGCCCCAGCAGCTGGCGGTGATGCTCATGCTGCGCTGCGTGGATCCCCCGCTGTGGCTGTGGGTGCGCTCCAGCCGCTCCCGCTCCAGCCGCTCGCTGTCCGACTGGCTCTGCGTGCGCTCAGGCCTGTTGTGGACGCTGCCGGTGGGGGAGCTGGGGGCTGGCTGTGAGGAGATTGTGCGCAGCAGGTGGTTCCTTTTCCTCAGGAAGTCGCTGTTGGCGCCCAGACCGAAGCTGCCTTTGCGCAGCACCATGCGTGTGCTGCTGGACTTGGCTGGCCGAGAACGGTGGTTGTACTCCAGCTGGGACAAATGAGCTGCGTATCCCTCTGTGATGAACTGTTGGGAGGATCAGCGTATAGACAACTGTTACTTGGAGAAATTACTGATGTGTATCTTGACGAATCTTAATTAATTACTGGACGTCAGAGCAGAAGTGTTACAGAGCAGATGAATATCACATATTAAATATATTTCATTAGGAGTTTAGAGTTTAATCATAGCACACTTTAAATGTTAATAATGGCCACCAATTGAGTGCTACCTGACACTGGTGTTGCATCTTCTTTGAGGGTCTGCCGACAATGTATATCTGAGATGAAGAGAGGCCAATAGAGTTGTAGACAGAGATGTCTTTGGTTGATCCATATCCAGCAAAAATCTTCATGTGAGCCTGGATTTATTTTTAAAAAAAGAAAAGGAGAACTATTTGGCACCAGTACCTTTGCATCAACATAATAACGTCAGCTACACTTTGGCACTATGTCTAAACATGTTTGCTAAATGATCCACAAAGATTACACCTAAACAACACATTCATTCCGGTTTGCCCACCACTTTTCCCAGTCTGACCTCTGTCAGTGATTTGAGGAAGTTGGCCTTGTGTCTGAGCGGGTCGTGCACTAGCCCATCGCAGAAGGACACAATGCCATGAGGGAAGTTGTGCTGGGACAGCCAAGCCACCACCCGCTGCTTCTGCATGTCTGGTCGTCCGGTCACATAGATGATCAAATAGCCCAAATCCTGCCAGTACCTGCAGGTGGACGAAACAGAAGAACATCCAAAAGCATAAATAACACGCCAGTGGACTCAGCCTCAGTGAAGAGGTTTCAAATTCGAAAGAAAAAGAGAGGACGAGCTGCTGGGTACCTGACTACGTCAACGGCTCCTGCCCGGACTTTTGGATCACTGCCCATGATTGAAACACTGGCAGCAAATGAACCATCGATGCTGAACACAACAAACTCAGTGCCACGTGGAATAACAGTCAGGTAGCTGTCTGCAAACGTGTGGTCACCCCTGAAAAATAAAGAAAAAGAGTGAAAACAAACATAAACAGTTGCATCCCTCAATATTCAACCTGAGAGACTGAATACAATGTCAGAGGAACAGGGTCTGAGGCAGAAAGCTGGAGAAATGTCAATGCAGACAAAGACATAGTTGGGCTTTGGCGTCCAAAATATGTTGAGCTGATCTCACCTGACGACCATTTTAACTGGGTAGACCCCTATGCCCAAACGCCTGTCCTCTGGGATGACAAAAGACACACGGCCACTGCTGTTGGTCACCTCAGTGTTGAAAAACAACCATTCTCCGGACGGAGGCTGGGTCATGATGTGGAGGTCAATCTACGCAAGTTTCGAAAGCAAAGAATTCCCATCAGTTCAAAATAATCATATCTACAAACGCTTGTTTCCACAGTTTCCTTAGCCGGGTGTGTGCCATCCTCAAAAGTGGATTCACCTTCTCTCCAGCTAAAGTGACCATGTCCAGAGGGCCATACATGAAGCGACCCGTCACCACCTGCTGGCTGTCTTCAGTAAAAACTGCATCGTTTACGCGATGGTTCGCAGTCACATTCTGTAAAAGAAGACAGAAAAAAAAGCTGAAGTATTTGTGTATTGTGTGAAATTAAACTAAATGCCCGATGGGTCAAACAAACCAGAGGAAAAAGTTGCCGATTGGACGCTCACCCTGATCTTGACATGAGTCCTCTTGCGGAGCCACTTCTCTCGAGGTTTCGAGGGCGTGAACTCAGACACTTCTTTCCCGTCGAGCTCCAGAATGCTGGAGTTTTCATGCCGCATGACCTAAAGGCAACGTTTCAGTGAGTCCTCGTCAGTATCTCTCAACAATCCGTAAAACCCGCCGATGGAATATTAAACTGGAAAGCAATTCTGGGTTCACTCACCTGCCTCAGCAGGAAAGACACCACGTCAGTGGATTCCCAGTATGATGCGTGGAAGAGGTGTGGTAAAGCTACTGTGGGGAAAGCGGTCAGAGCATCGGGACAGTACAGGGCAAAGTCCAGCCGCTTTGTGCCCCACCAGCGTGCTGCAACTGTAAGGGGGAGTGGAATGAGTAGGGTGCAGATAGGTAAGATGAACCTGTGGGAGTCAGCATGATCTGTGTGATGCCACACAAAGGTAGCGCACCCCTAGCCAAAAACAAAGAGTTGATTTCAATCCACAACCAGAATCACCACCTACTCCAGCAGTCCTTTAGCTGCAGGAGAGAAAGGAAGGTTTCTATTAATGCTGTTACCCAGGAAACACTGAATCAAAAAACAAAACAAGGAAGTTAGAAGTGATATTTGACTATGCAGGCGGTTAATCGTGTTAGTGAGGATGGAAAAAGACTGCAGGTTTCAAAAGAACATGCAAAGTCTAATTTTGTGCACTGCTCCTCAGTGGAAGTGATGGCACTTGAACCCTTGTGAATTCGATTGGGGAAGAGTTCAAGTAGAAGAGAAAGAGCAGCACTGAGCTTTTGGACAGTGATTTCCACTCCCTTAGAAAAATACCTTGGTCAACTTCAGCTTGGGAGTCCAGTGAGACCAGATCACATATTGCACAGTCCAGCCCCGGTGAAAGGTTGTTCTCATACTGGCAAGTGGGGCTTAGACATTCACTAGAGTTTGCCTCATCTTCCAACTCAGCTGCTTGATCTGCGTCAGAAGATCCTGCAGACTGGCAAGCCTCCAGTTTCTTACGAGATTTAGGGGGGCTTTTCAGGAAGAATTTGCTTGGTGATGATAGGGCAAGTTGCGACAAAAGACTGAATCTTTTGGACTGGTTAAACTGGTTTGAATTGGCTATGAGAAAAAAAAAAGAGAAAGAACCACACGATAAAACTGATTCCTGTCATGACAGTTAGATGTTAAAATGTGTCAAGTGGAACTGTGAAATGTAAAAAACTATGGTTAATAGGGCTTAAAGTAGCACTGTGATGTGATTGAAGATCTTCGGATATTCTGGAGTTATGGGAGCAAAATTACATCTTACATTTTTTAAGTGTACATATAGGTTCATATTGGTGAAGATTAAACCGCTGAGCAACAATGTTAGGTGCAGAAAATGCTCTGGGAACAAAGTAAAAGCGTGAGGGGAAGGACTTTGGTAGACGATCAAACAAAGAAAAAAACAGAGTTCTGACTGTCATCAGCAGACACTGTTAAACAGAGTGGACAATGCAGAGATGGCTTAGGGAGGGAGGTAGGTGTCCACATGCATTGCAACATTAGATAAATGCAGCATTTGGTATTTGCATTTACATTGAGACAGTGGATAAGAGTTAGACAGACAAAGGAAAGTGGCGCTGAGCTTGCTCCCCTGCAGGATTCTGATCTTGTCAGCCGTTTTTTTATTATTACAAGGACTGGGAAACACATTCCACATGAGGCTACTCACAAGACAAGTCCGGCAAAATGGAAATAGCAAAAATACTCAGGTGTAACTGGCTGACTAGACTGTTCCAGGTGGAGTACAAAGTGTGTGTAGAGTCAGAGTAACAGGTGATGAGAGAGAGAGAGAGGTGATATAGAAGTCTCAGAGGGAGAAACAAGACAGAAAAATAGAGAAAGTTTGGTCTGAGAGTAAGAGAAAGTGGGAGAATAACTCGATCCATGTCTGTGTGAGTGGAAGGAAGAGAGACAGAGCGGGAGACTGGTTGGTATGCAGAACACTTACTGTTAGCTATGTTGGTGGCAGTGTAACTGTCTGCCATTCCTGAGACCTGGCTGGCAATGCTGACCTCACTGGCCCTCCGCTGGCCCCGGGAGAAGGGGCCCGTTATGGGGGAGGAGGGGTACGAACTGTCCATGAAGACACCACCATGAGACTGAACAACATCCGCTATTGAGCGTAAACAAGGAGATCCCATTAGACAGAGACACAGATAAGGGGAACTCACAGAGATGGGTGGGAGGGAGGGAGGGAAGGTGCGGGTTAGAGCAGCAGGAGGGAAATGTGGCAGCAGGCACCATGGCTTCAGAAGGCATGTGAAACCACAAGGAGGCCACATGCTGGCTGGAGTCAGATTTCTTCGGCTGACCAACGTATGGCAACGCAAAACAGTGTATGTGTAGCAAATCACAAATGTCCTCGTTCATTACAGTCAGGTGGAAGTATCGCTACAGGAAAAACATTCATAACTAGTGTTTCAATAAATCTGTGTTTTGATAATTAAATAGTGCTGTAGATTGAATCAAATCAAATTGTCTTTTACAACTGTCGTAAAAAAGATAACATCAGGTATATCATACTCAGGATGTACACGCAGAGCTCAATATCCACTGTGCAAACACAACAACACGAGCAGCACAATAAGCACGTCAAAACCAGTCTTTGAGATTCACGTCACAGCAGAAATACCCTCTGTCAACATTGATTACCTGAAGTCGCAGAAGTGTTGCAGACACACTGAGGAGTGGCTAAAGTACCACAGCACAAACACAAATGCTTTCCATCCTCCAAACACGGCATGACATCAATAAGAGATGACAGAAGGAAATATAGCACTACAAAAGATGCTCGACAGATTTTTTTTTGATAAGTGTTTCCATGGCGTGGGGTAACGGTTTAAAACTTTATCTCAAATTTTTAGAAGAGAAGAGAATGTACATATTTTTTACATAATTAATGCTACAAGGGAATGACTTGTGCAGTTTAAAAAAATGTCATTTTTGTATGTCTGTGAGAAGAAATGTGTTTTGCTGTCTTGGTTTTTGAAACTATAAAGATGGGAATACTCAGAGACAACGTGTGAGATTAAAAAAAATCTGAGCATCTTGGACAGAACAGTCCGAAGGATGAACAAAGAGACAAAAGGAGCACATGAAATGAGGGTCAGGGAAGATGGAGGTGAATGGGAGAGGCTACACACACTCCATAGTGGCGGGTGTGGCTTTGAGGGAGCCCTCCTGCCAGTTTAGCACAGGCACAGGAATGCAGGTCTCACTGATGGTCTCCTGACAGCGAAGGGACATGGGGGGCCCGCTATCAAGTAGCAGCTGAGCGTTGCTCTGGACTGTCTCCACTACAGAAGGAGGTGTAGGGGCAAGAGGGGCAGAGGTAAGGGGCGGTTTTAGAGGTAAAAGGGCCAGGTGTGCAGGTTTGGGAACAGGAGGCCGAGAGAGGAAGAAGGAAAGGAGACAAGGAAGACATAAAAACATGTGAAGCAAGAACAAATTAAACATGAGACAAGCAAGAGTCAAGCCCTAAGTGGACTTCCACTTCTTTTTGGACCACAACTCCTAAGGCCTTCAGTAAAAAGTCATATCGCTTCCATCCCATTGGCAAAGGCCCCACAGTCTATAAAAGCTTTTGCCCTTCTGCGATTTAAAAAGGATTTTCTATTTAGCATTTGACATTATCATTAACAAAAAAGACCTTAAAAGCATAGAAAGCACAGAAGCCCTGAGCCAAATGAATAAAATGTTATTTAACTATTTGTTCAGCCTTAAGCGATACTTTAACAAATAATTCTTTCCCAATTGAAAAATGTGCGTGTTTAAAATGTCTCTGCTAATTCACCAGCTTGAGGTTCCTAGGTTGAACCTCTAAGAATTACTGAGTTAAAGTTAACAGTCCAAACAGAAACCACCAACAGGACTACGACCACATTTAGATGAATAGATTGCTTCACAGAAGACCTTGAAGCACAAAGAGTAGAAAAATGTTGTATTTTTCTTTGAGACTATGTAGACTCTGTGAGTGAACTTATAGCGTGTTATTAAGGCATGTGTTGTTTGTGGCATGCATCAATGACACACAGGACGGTGGGTAACAATGTCTGAAGTTAAAAGGAGAAAAGGAAATATTTCTGTACCCAGCTGATTTAGCATTTGTGTCAGTGCTGAATATAAGAGAGAAAAGCATATCTATATTTTTTTTTTAAGCTGCTGAAGCTCTCATATGCCACTGCTGTAGTGAACTCACCCAGCAGGGCAGAGTTCCCATCTCCGAGGGGAAAGCGTTGGTAGCGCGGCACATTGAAGGGAGGGAGGAGGTGAAATTTCCGCTCCAGCAGAGGCTCCAGGCGGGAGGCTGAGGGATCAGCTGGATGGAACAAGTTATAAACCTGCTGACAAGCAGGCCGCAGCTGGGCCACTAGGGGGAGAAATCAAACCAAAGACATGAGGGAGGAGAAGCAACAACCGGGAAGACATGGCAGCTGAGAGACAACAGTTGTTTGAAAAATAATTTCTCAAAATTTCAAGAAGTCAGCTGGTTTTTATGTATTGTTATTTTTTTTCTATGAAAACTTGGATTAAACCTCAGAGAGGACAATATTCCCTCGGAATAATGGGGCTCACCATCCAACATGGGGATCACAGTCTTCCTCAGGGCCAGGACTAAACCCAATGGAGAACCGAAGAGGAAAAAATCAGAAACCTCAAAGTCAAACTTCCCCAAGGAGCCTCCGTCCAGCATAGTGCTGCTGCTGGACCGGCGCGAGGCGGCGTCGTTACGCAGGACGCTGGAGTGCAAACTGGAGGGAGAGACAATTCTTGTTTAAAACCAATGCAAATCATACCCTCATCGTCTGATGTGGAAGAAGGAATTAACGGGATGAGTGTAAGAATCTCTTTAATGCCATGCACCTGGTCAGGAAAGCCTGGTGCTGCTTTATTGTGTCCAGCTCGTAGGTAGAGGAATCACTCCTCTTGCGTGGCAGCTGTCTCTTGGCCTCGTCGCCTGAACTGGCGCGAGGAATGTCAATGTTACTGCGACTGAGGTGGCGGCTTCCTTCCAGTGTTGGGGAGGCAGATCCTTGTCCGCTGTTGATGATAATGCCAGGAGAGAGGAGGTCCTGGTCCTGTCGGGGCCATCAATGAGAATGCGTCACAAAAGCAAACGGGCCTTTAAACGCGGGTCCTCGTGGGACGAGCTGAAATGTTTCAACATGTAAGCACAGCGCTGCATATTTGGCCTCGCACCTGCACGCTGATGACACTCCCCCTTCGACTGCTGTTCTGGCTTTCGTTCACTGTGGGATTGCTATTGCACAATGCATCAAACCCTAGGATTCCTCCCACACAGTCCCCAATAAGGCACACCTAGAGAGGTCAAGGATCAGAAACGATATACAAGATGTTTACTGTTGAGGTTCACAACAAATACAAACTCACCAGAGAAGTTTAACACTTACAAAAGTGGACGTTGATATGTGAAAAGAACTATCTGTAAGCCATTCATATCTGAGTCAGGATGCAATGCTCTAAAAGGTAACAAACCATGCAGCCCTGATTCCACGCAGAGCAGTCACTGACCTGGCCAGAGAATGCAGCCCCATCCAAAGACTTCAGAAAGTCAGCGTACACTTGATTGGCTCGAACAATGACGGTGGTCATGGCGTCCTGGTACTGAGGAGCAGAGGTGGCCAGGAGAGGCAGGGCTGCCAGTGGGATGTGGTCTTGGCTGCTTGACAGACAGCTTTCATCGTAACTGTAAGGACTCAGACTGACGCAAAAAAAAAAAAAAAAAAAGACCAAGTCAGAGAGAGGTTTGAGGAAATTATCACAGGGGGCGGGACACAGCAACCATGACCAGAGCCTGCAGCTTTTCCCTGCTTTGCTGCAAGCAAAAGCGCGCAAGTGTCTTCTCTTACTTGGACACCAGAGAGAAAGCCTCGGCACAGATGGCAGGGCAGGGCACCAAGCGGATGGCGATGCGTCCCAGCGCAGCAGGGTAGTGAACACGCATGACTGTCTCAAAAGCCGTGCTAATTGTGTTGACGTCGGCCTGCTTGCTGTTCTGGTCTCCTCCGCCTGTATCCAAGATGTTCCCTCCATGCAAGACCAAGATCAGCACGTGGATCTTGGAAGGCTGCAAACACTGCTGGGAAGAACTCTCCTGGGAAGGAAAAATCAAAAGAAGGGTGACCAAAAGGGAAGATTAACAAACAGCCCTGAAAAACATGTTGGATGGATGGTTTGTCTGTTATATTAGATGACTGCGTGACAAAAATAAATGAAACACAGGTATTAATTCACTTCTAGTTGGGAGATTGTGACTCTCTCTGTCCTTCTTTACAAACTTGGACCACACAGCAGACTTCTTTTCACAAGGGTGGAGAGCCAAGAGGGGACACAGAGCCAACCTCCACTAGGACAACTCTTTGACCAACAGCAAACAACGACCATGCTAATGTGTAGTTTTGTCTCCTATGCGTGATCCAAAACTTCACATTTCCAGATAAGCACCATATGTATAGTCAACGCCACAACTGTAAGTACAAGGGAGCCGAACAGAGGGTGGTGAGGTTGAGGACTAGACACGGTTTTGGGTTTTTGGCGGCAGGGAAGAAAGGGGAAGGGGCACGGAGTGCTGGGTTTGTCCACACGGAAGGCATGGCCCCCGTGGTACTGCTGTACCCCACAGTGCACAGGGGCCCAAATGTTTACTTACTGAAAGGTGCCTTGTTACCATGATGGTAGGAATAGGAGAGCTATCGGCTTGGCCGCTAAGAGAGCCACGCATCTGAACACAAGAGGACAGAAAGGCTAAGGAACAAACAGCCTTTCTTTCACCCTCCAAAGTAAGAGAAAAAGCTTTTCAAAGATGCCCAGACTTTAAATGCAGCGAGGGTTAGCCAAAGCTTTCGGTTCTACAGGGAATACCTATCCTACACATGGATATGCATCAGATGAAGCTGTGACTGTCATTCTGTAGAAACCTACTCAACGTTTGGCATACACACCTCATCTAGCCTGTCCTCATTTGCTGCTCGGTCGTAATCCACCGTCATTTCCTTGAACAGCTCTCCTGAAAACACACAACAATATTTTGAACATCAAACTTCACTGTGATTGTCGACAATGAAGATTTCTACCAGTGGCCTTCATGGTACCAGGTGTTTCCTCGGCATCTGCAGCTTCAATCTTGTCCATGAGATCGTTGGAGTTCCATTTAGCAATTTCCTTAGGGAAGACCTCCTCACCATCTGAGAGATCCTCTGCAGTGTCAAGAGAAGACAGGTCACGATTAGATAAATCACTCTGACCTTCATTTAAGTCTGAAAAAGACCCTGTGTCAGCATATGCTATCTGGCATGCATACCAATGTGTACCAAAGTGCTAAAGGACAGTAGAAAGAGCATGGTATACTTTCCTAACATAGCACTTTCTTATTAAACAAATAAAATGTACCATTTAAAACTATGGCGGTATGAATGATTTTTTATCCATCCATATAAATCCCCATATTCCCATAAATACAGATGTTCAGTCTAATCTTTTTATCTTGCCCATGGGGCAATTTCTTTTACAATCATAACAGAACCCTTTTGTTTTCTTTATCTTATATCTAAACTTTGAATTACTTATATGAAATCAACAGCATAATGCAACCGATCAAAAGAACTGGTGAAAATCAAATAAATATCAGTATTTCCTCAAACACTAACCAAGGCCCTTTTTGCAAGACAGTGTACCCTTTGATAATTTGATATTATCTCTGTGTTTTTGTGCTGTTTGTGATGTAAAGAAAAACCTCTATACAAGAGCTGGCCAATTCGAGTCAATAAATACGTTTTTATTCCAGCTGCTTCGTCATAGGTTGATTGAATCTTCTGATAATTAACAGGAAATAAAATTAGGGATAAATTATATTTTATATAAGATCTCAAGTTAAAGAACAAAGGAAAAAATAAAGGCAAAGAAATTCTCAGCTGTTTCCATATTTCATTTGTGAGCTTTTTCATTTATATTTGACAGTTTAAGTTCATTCTAATACTCTACTGGCATTTATTTTTTCATATATCACTGTTTACTTAATTATGCTGCTCCTGCACTAATAAATCATGACTAACTGCAACGGGCAACTCAACAAGACAAAGGAAATGAACTGTCACTCATTGATAGGTGATGCCAGTAGTTTATAACTGAAAGCACACATCTAACAGGGTTCAAATAAACTCTAAAGACGTCCAACACACAATAATTAGAACTAAACATTAGTATGGTAACATCATAAGCAGAAACTTAGGATGAGTGGAGACTGACTGTAGCAAAAAAACAGTGTCAATATAAGAAATGCTGCAACATGCTTTATTCTCGTTTCACCGTCACGGTGACTAAGCCACATGTCACACTTCCATCACACAAACACTGGTTTGAAGGGGTCATTTATTGCCTGGACATATATATAGTGTGAGGGACACTGTGTGTAAGTGCGTGCTGTTAAATGATGACTTGTCGAGGCTGTTGGTGAGAGAGGGGCAGAGACGACTTTGATTTCTGGACTTGACGTCAGGATGAGACACCTGGCTCGCGTCCTCAGCCAACTCATCCCGCAGGGGGGGCGGGGGGGTTGAACCTGCCCGTTGAACCGCACCCACCTATTTCAACTGTAGACCCAAAGCATGCTGGGTATCTGGGAAGCTTAAGAACTGATCTGTGGTTAAAGACATGCATGCACAGGGGTTGAAGCGGGGACTAGGCAGGTTCTTGGGAAACTGGAAAACCAAAAAACAAGCTTTGTGAAAAGTCCACCTTTAATTGAAAACCAGAGCAGTGTTTACCGTGAGCGTCGAAAAACTCCTCGTCCGAGCTGTCGTCCGAGTCCCGCGCGATGCTCTGCATCCTCCACTCGGAGATGCTGTGACGTGACGGGCTCACTGTGAAACACGAAGGAGAGAAACCTTGCAGTTATGTGGGGAACATGTGTTTTGGCCTCTTTTTTGTTCTTTTTTTTAAAAGATGCACATACACACACACACACACATTCTTCAACAGTGAAATTTTGCAGTCCCACACCCCCACCTCACGCGCAAACACTGTGTTATGTAAACATGTAACAGTCTCTGTGGTGCATTACTTCATGGCAGATGGGCCGTTTGGTGGCCGGGGGTATTTTGCAAAAAGACGAGGGCCGGTATAACTCAAACTTCAGGCACGCAAAAGACTTAACACCTGAGGAGCATGGCAACACTAAAGGCTGGCCTGGTCAATCAGGCGTCTCCAGCTGACGCCTCGTACGTCATTAGTGCAGCGAGGGCTGCTGAGAGAGGGGCACAGCTGTAGCTGTCAGCTCACAGAAGGAAACAGCAGTGGTGGAGGGGAGGGTCACTCGAGGAGCGTCTGCCTCCTCGGATCTGTGATGTCAGCTCTGCTGCTAAAAATAGCTCCAGAGAGAACCGCGGGTGGAGGGGGGTTGGGGGGGGGTAAGAGGGTGAAACAAGGCATACTGGATGAGGGTCGGGGTCCATGTTGTGGCTAAGGTTAGTACTACTGCATGGGTGCGTTCCAGCATGTGGTTGGTGATGTCAGAGTGGATGCTAAAAATAACTCAGGTGTAAAGATATGAGACTGCTGGTATTTGACAGTAAAGCAGATGTGAGAGCAGGAGGTAATACAGCCAAGCACAGTATAAACAATTAACATCAGGAATAATTAATTTTCTTCTCCTTTTCTTAAACTGCTCCTGAAGCGTTTGAAGCAAACTGTAACCTGAATCAATTTGAGCACGGACTCAGTTCTTTATGTAAAAGCAAACAACATTCCAATCCTCCTCAAGGAAGAAAGAAGAAACAATTTACACCAGCCTGAAGACTGACACTGTTGAATTCTACACATTGCTGCTTCCAGTGCGGCAGGTCTCAGGGTATCAGATATCACTACAGCGTTTCTTAGTGGGACAGTTTAACTGACACAGGTATATCTCAACCTTTCAGATAGACAAGAGTCAGGTAACACACTGAGTAAGTCGCCAATGCTGTCATTAGGGTTACAGCCACATATTTTACAGGCTGGTTATTTAAGCGTTGGATGGGTTTGAGTTTCCCCTTTTGGGCTGAAGTAACTTTTTTAAACATGGATATAAAAACATCATTTTAGCTAGTGTTGCTGTATATAAAAAAATGAAAGGATTACAGTAGAGTAATTATGGGCTCATTTTGAATGCGATCATATGTGAAGGAACTGCATAGTTCACAGATTCAGAATGTGTGTAGAAGAGAGCAACACAAATACATAATGAACCGATATCCACTAATTGTTATCCACAGAGGTGACACACATAGCTGAAGATGCTCTTCACCTCCTCTCTTGGATGAACGGGACGATCGGGAGGAGGTGGACCACTGCTTGGTGAGAACACCTCGTGGCTGAAGAGTCTCTCTTCCTGTACTTGCAACCACTTCCTCAGCTTCAATAGAGTTGATTGCTTCTTTAGCTTCCTGATCTTTGTCAGGAGATGCAACGCCGCCTACAGCCTCTGTGGCCTCCTCTCCCTGGCAAAACTGGGCCATCTTTCTGGCCAAGGCCAGCTGGGTTTCCAGCTCCAGCTGCCTGATGTCCTCAATGGTGAGACCATACCACTCATCTTGCCAACACCAGGCCTGCCGGTGGGCTCGCACCATCACCTTTCTTAGTCCTGGGGGAGTGATCCATGAAAAGGTTTACTAGTTAATGGGTGACTGAAAAAAACCTAACATCACTCAGGAAGAATTACACATCATCACAAGCCATACAAATCTCAGAATGTCCACTCACCAACATCATGAATGAAGCGCTCGATCTTTGACTGCATGCCCCAGTAACGGAACTCCACTTTACACAGTTTGTAGGCACACATGATTGGAGTTTTCCCAGGGTTATTGTTGTACTCCTCTATCCAGTCGTCCCGCAGGGGACCCCTCTGGGTCTTCGACGACTTGTAAAGCCTTGGGTCTTCCTCTGCTTTGTACTCATGAGGGGGGATGGGATCTGTCACTATGTCGATTGGGTCTGCAGAAGACAAAATCCATTCTCAACAACGGCTTGAGATGAATACACTGTACTTAATGTCAGAAAGTGTGCATAAGAAGGTGGTGGGGTAGAACCTGTACACATAAATGGGGCAGTTTTACATTGAATTACTCAATATCTGACTAACTTAATGTGGTGCACAGGAAAGAGCAATTGATTCAAATAATTACAAACAATGCTGTAAATGGGTCACTACATGCCTTTTAACCATAAATATCCAGCAGCATTATATTTATTGAGAAAACATGCTCCGAACCACAGAAAAAAACAGATGCCGTGGCATTAAACTGCCACAAGGGGCCTCACCCGCTGCGTATGCCTGAGTAACAAAAGATATCTAACTGGCTTGTATTTGATTCGGTGCACATAAATAATGCAATATTCTAACAAATCTCAGACTATTAGTTGTCAAGTGTTTTAGCAATAGTACTTTCCCCAAACATTTAATGACACTTCCACCTCTATAAACCTAACTATCACTTGAAGTTTAATAGAAATACATACTGCACACAAAATATACTTCATCCTTTAATTTCTGCTGCGATGACTTGAGACTAATGTTAAAGGCTCTCACCAATAGTCCTCTGTCTCTTGTCGGTGGCAGACAAGCTGAAGACATCTGCTTGATCGCCGGGGTCGGGCTTGTAGTAAGTTTCAATATCTATGGAGAACTTCTCAACAAAGGGACAGGTGTACCTGAAAGACATGGTGGCAGAAAATGAACAAAACAGAGCAAATTATCTTTCAAAATAAAAATAAAAATTCTGGAATATAAACTGCTTTCATCCATGAATAAAATCTCCAACCGAATGGCAAAAGATCACTCAAAGAGTAACAACAAATGTTTACTGCTGAGGACTGACGACATGTGAGCTATGCCCATCTGTTGCATTTAAGGCATCTGCAGTAAAAAAAACTGTCAGTGGTTGAATAGATGTGTCAACAGGCACTTCAAGGCTATCAATATCTTGACAGTACAGTCCTGGGTGCAACTGTTTTCAGCACCTTAGTGTCTCTGTGTTTATCAGGCCCCCACGCAGACTGAGTGACAACCTGAGAATAAGGGGCCATCAGCTCGAAGCAGCTTGGGAGCAAAGCTGGCTGCACGCCAATCTGATGGCCTTCTACGTAACAATCTGACAACCTGCTCTGAGGTCTTTATTCTCTTTTGGCTTCTACAGAGACAGCTGGACCTCAGCCATGGAATCATGAAACTAATCATTTAGAACATTTGTGTATTTCACTGAATAAAAGCAGTGTTTGACGTATTATCTTTAACACAAAGAGGGGATGATTACTTGTCTTTAGGTATGTGTATAACAAATCTATTTACAAGCAAAGGTTCAAAAAGAGGCAGACAATGAAGTTTATTTTCTTTTTTCCCCTGCAAGAGTGAAGCTGACCTGGTGCGGGTGTATGGGTAGGCATTCCAGGACTCCTCTTCAACCCTCAGGGCTGCTTTGGGCAGTATGGATCGGAACCAGCTGGGAATGTGCATGCCAATGTGGTAGACCTTGTGGGTGTACTGACCCGTCCCACCAGGTCCATCTGTGTAGGGCTTATTCTCAAGGATCTCCACACCACTCCCCTCACCGCAGCTCTCTTCTCTGCTCTTTTTCTGTAAGATAAAAAGCCCAATAATGAAACAGGGACACGAGAGGCCACAATGCGCATTAGCAATGCGCTGTGAAGGGACATACTGCTCAATCTAATATTATGACTACCAGTACTCTTCTTTTCATTGCTCTGAAACAGACGTTTGAGAGCAAACAAATAAATAGATGTGGTGTGACGGGTACATGCTGTACGACTTAATCACAGGCAGACTGAGTCTGTTATTATACTGAGAAGACTTTTAACACAATACTACGTACACATGCACCAAAATTAATAGTTTCCTGAGAGCTTTGCCAGGTCTGAATTGCAAATGAGGAAGCCCAATGAACCAGCTCCAAGAGCCACACCTTTCCCATATTTACATTCGGGGTCTACAAAGGAAGAAAAGCTGGGTGGAGTCTTCTGATGTAGTTGCAGAGAGCCACAGCTAGGCGAGTCAAGGTTTGGAGGAAAAGACAAGGGGAAGATTGGTGTATGTTGTGAAATCACTGACACAGGAAAACCCGTCAGATGAGCAGAGTCCAAGTGCTGATGACACAGAAAACACTGGTGCAAAGATCATAAATGTCAAAGATTAAAGATGTATCCCCTTTTTTTTATCTTTCTTATCAGCAGTTTCCCTGTCACTTCTCATTTATGTTTGCTTAACGCAGAGTTCGCTGTAGCGTCATGATAATGGGGACACAAATTTCTCCAGTTAGCCCACTGGGAAGAGGTGATGCCTGTGAATCGGGGGAGTTGCAAGGAGGAAGCCATGAGGAAGCATCCAGTACTCTGGACCTCATTACCTCTGACAGGTCATTCATTAGCCACCCGCCCTGCTCTCAACAACTGAGACACTGCTCAGAAGACAAAGCACAGGCAGCGCAGCCCATGCATTCAGGCTGAGAAACATCTATAAACATTTGTAGCTTTAAAAGAAACACACAGTGCATGAAAGAAAAATGTACATATGAAGAATATTTGGTTTTATCATGGGATGCCATGACCCGTCTAAAGGTAAAATAAAGCACTGGACCGCCCCTTTATTGCACTTCCTGCCACGTAACTGTAATCGGTCAAATGCAGTGTCCTCTGTCCTGCTCACCAGAATAAAAAAAAAGGAAAAAACACTAGCCCGTGGGAAGGGGGGGTGAAGGAGAAGATGACTGGCTTAAAGTTAAATGAAACTTCTATGTAATATAAAAATTTAATGAATACACATCACCGAGTGGAAACCAGAGGTAAACCATACCTGTGAGGAAACAGGCATCGAGTTAGAATTCTCCACCTCTAGAGTTGTGCCATCACGTTTGCCACATAGCCCTTTCTGCCTCACCAATGTATCTTTACAACAACTGGAAGTGATTACAAAATGCACTGACTTCAAAGATGTATGTGTTAAGATTCCACTGCCCTGACAGGATGAGAGTCACATCCTGGCTTTTTCCTTTTGCTGTCAACTCAAAAAGTCATGTTTCCTGTTAGGAATGCTGCTTCTCACTAAACACAGACACAGTTGCCCATTCAAAATGTGATGGACCCGTCCAAATGGATGGGCGATCACAGTAGGAAGCTCCGATATCTAAATCTTATATCCTGTTTTTTTTCAACAATCCTGTAAGTTGCCAGTCATGGATCATAAAATCTTATTTAGCCACCAAATTACAGGCATGCGGCCAGAGGAAGTTGGAGGAGTTATGGGGTGGGGCACTGTCTATTGAGGCACAGACATGGGCAGGATGTCCTCAGGCCCTGGCTTCGTCTATTAGGTCTACCTCGGGGATGGATCGCCATCAGGCAGGCCAACTTGCAGCAGTTGCCCTGGTAACATACAGCATTGAAATGAGGGTAGGCACACTCTGTTTCCTTCCACCTCCTCTCCCATTTCTTCTCGCCCCCCTCTTGCAGCCTCTCTTTTTAATTCTCCATTTCCTCTTTTCATTCACTCACTCGTGAACAAAACCTGACCACTGGCATGCTGCTGATGTCATGGTTGCCAAGGTGACAGAAGCCTTAGAGCAATGAGGCTTTGTAGAGACAGTCAGGTCAGCGAAAAGGTAACTATGGGTCAGAAATATAAGAGCTCCTCACTTGATTTGTTTACATGCTAAACAGTACACATGAGTTCTGCTTTTTCATAGAGCAACACTGTGTGCCTGTGCTTGCACATGCATCAAGTCCCTTTGAACAACCGTCTGTTTGTCGACATCCATTTGGGAACAAAGCAGGTTAGAACTGCAACTATTAACGCATCAATTTGAATAAAGCAAAGTGGGCAAAGAATTAGGAAATGATGGAAATCTGACAAAAACAGGATGGCGTCTGTTTTCTTCAAATCAAATGTTCTTACCTTCGAGTAAATCTGCTGAGTCATGTTCCCAATCATGAGCAGCTTAACCGCATTACCTGTGTGGTTTGGTACACCACCAGTTCCAAATGAGGAAAAACAAGCAACAAACAACTCCGTCCAAGTTCTATGAAGGACCTAATTTGTTTTGGGGTTTTTCCATCAAAGGTTTTTCTAAACAAAGGTGGCAGGGCAGACAGCAAAATCTGCCATGAACCAATGTTACAAGTAAAAGTTCAATGTACAGACGTATAATACTGAGAAATGCCCATGAAAGTTATGGAGCAGTGAAAAACTAAAAGCAATTCTACAACACAAGCTACAGCTGGTCGACTATCTGCAATCTACTCGGTCAACACAAAGATTTTCATTCTGGTGTTGGATGATGTTGTATGATGAAGTTTTTCGATGTTAGCCCAAAATGAAGTTCTTTCCTGCAGTGTGGTGGTGAGGCTCCGACCACCGATCCTCAAACAAAGAAAGAAAAAAATCCACTTGAAATTGAGTTAAACTTAAAACAAAGTCTAAAAATAGCTGTGTGCTAACTGTAGGAAGAAGTTATAAATATCACACCTTAAAACAGTCCAGCTTGGCCTCTTTTTCCTCACCACCATGAATGTATGTGCATATCTTGTGGTTCTTCTTTCCTCATTAAAATAGCCTTGCTTTTGTTGACTTAACTACTAAGTGTTTAAAAAAAACAGAGCTGATGAAATAACCAGGGAATTATCAAACCCGAAACCCTCAACGACCATAAACTTACCACTTGGGTTACACGTTACATAACCTTAAGAGATTCAATTCCGACAAACTGCTCAATGTGTGAGTCCAATTGGGAGGAATATCTCAATCTATAAACAACTTGGTACAAATTCTGAAATGTGTACAAGATGTCTAAACAATAGGGACAATACAACATCAATCATTGACTCCTCCATGATTTTGCTTCATAATTTCACAACCCATATGTAGTGAAAATATGCAGCTGCTCATTACAACTAAAGCTGTTTCCTATTCTCAAGCAGTCCATCTCCATTTAGGATTTGTAGTTTGGTGGAAATAACCCAAAACAACAGTTTCTAATGCTCATCAGTGTGCTCATCTCCATCACAAATGGTTGCATACGCTGATACCAGGGGAACCCCACCTTCTTCCTGCTGAAACCAGCAGTCGATAAAGTTTCAAACTGGTGGTTTCAGAGTTTCATTCGGATAAGGTATCGACATAAAGCTCTCTTTGTTCCAGGAGTGTCGCACACCATGTGACTGGTCTTTTTCTAGCTGTGCGCTGTGATTACACTCATACAAAAATGTTTCTCAAACTGCTCTTTTTTTCCCCTCTCTGGATTCTGGATCACGTCTCCAGTTCTGGCTCTGTGTGTGGGTGAAACTTTGCAAGAGAGAGTGGGGTGTTTATCTCACCTGGATCATGTAGAGCTGGGCTATGCGGTACTCCTCCACACTCATGGGCATGGGGATGTGGTACTCCTTGATGAGCATGGTGAATCTTGAAGAAGTGGGAAAGGGGAATCAGGGAGAAGATAGACAAGGGAGTGGGGGAGGGAGGGGCAGAGGGAAGGGAGGGGGAAAGGGGAGAGGGGGCACGCTAGGGCGCTGTTATGTGAGGCTTGTCAAACAGTCAGCTGAAGTCGGCATCAATGGTTCCTGTTGAGGAGATGAAAATACACAAATGAGTGGGCTTGCAAAGATTTAAAAATAAACGCAAGAGAAGTCAAGACAAGCTGTTAAATTAGGACATTCAAAGACAGCTCCCTCAAGCGCGTCTTCACCAATCAAAAACTCATCAGCAGAAAAAAAACAGTCATCTTGCGAAACCAGGGACGACCGAATGCAGCCGGGAAATTCTCGCGGAGGCAGCCGGGGACAATGGCTCTTGTGGCTCACGTGTGGATGAAGAGCAGCGTGGAGCTGGTGTGTCATTCAGGTAGGTCTGGCACAGGCCTTGACATCAAGGAGAAGCCGCAGCGTCGGCGTCTCAATTCAGCACGCCACCTCCACAGTAAGAAACTTCACAGGATTGAACTCCCTTCTTATACACGGGTCACTACTCGTTGTGAGGGAGGAGGCGGGGTGGCCAGAGTCTGTGGAGTGCCCCTATGCCTTGCTGATAGCAGTAACAGCCACCCGTCTCTCCAAACCCCCACGGACCTGTCACATGGGGGGGCTCACTCAGTGTAAGAGGGATTACAGTTGAGTGGGGACCATTACGTAACCTTGTAAGAACCCCTCGTGCATGATCGAGGTTTCACAAATAGCCGCCTTAAGAGTTACACAAAGCATGGTTTTCAAACCACTGGGCAGGAAGGGGTAGGTGTGGGCTATGCAGGGTCCGCGCGTGGGTGGCGTGAGCTGCAGGAGTCTAGTTGACCACAACGGGAAGAGCAGTCCCACAAAGCTAAGCAAGCATGAAACTAAATGATGACTAAAGCAAGAAGCCAATTTCTGTTGAATAACCCCTCTATCAGCCATGGTAATACATTGACAGAAGAGTAGAGTGACATCCGTCAGGTGAAGGAACAGTTGGGTCTAAATGAGCAATGCCTGAGCAGGCATGAGCAAGATGACATGTTTTACTGGAGAAAAAAATGGTTTCTTATGTCCATAAAGCTGAAAAACCACATATTATCTTAAATTCTCCTTTTAGAGTTCTCACTTTGAGCTCTAATCATCAAGAGAAGATTAAAAGGTCTAGTTGATGAAGGCTCGGATGCATTCAAAAAGATGTGGTGAGAAAGAAAAAAAGGTTTTTCTCCTGGTTCTGAGCACACTGTGCTGCACTGTAAAGTACGTGTGAGGGAAGAAAACACCCCCATTCCAGCACTGCCTCCGTTCAGCTGTGAAAATGTGACCACACTGCATTGCATTGCATAACCACAATATTAACCCATTTCTGACCTGTGGCAGCAGCTGGACACAGTTCAGGAGCCCAACATTCTCTCTAATCGCACTAATACTCCCAATACGTCACTTACCCAGCAAACACAGGCCAGCTTTTGGTCAGGCTTCTGCTATAACCAATAGAGCTGGTCTTCCACCTATTGGCTTCTTACTTCCGCCACAGCTCCCTGAAGACGCTTTGATCTAATAAGCTCGCTGACGCAGTGCTGGGACGAAGATGCCGTCTGTTTGTGCTCTCAGCCTGCTTACAACCTACTAACCATTTGTCGTATACATTTTTCATGCAGAATCTCTGGTTTACTCTGCAGAACAATGCACCAGCTAAATCGGAGCAGAACACCACGTTTTGCTGAAAATAACTGCACTCTTGGGAAAGGCTAAGATAAAACTAGGCTAGCTGTTGAGGTTCGGAAGAAAGCATTCAGCTCAAGAGCCCACGATGTCTCTGGGAATCAAAATCAGCTTTTCAAGGGGAAGATCATTGTGTGTCGTCTCGTTGATAGTATTGATGAGAAGGTTTACCATTTACATGCTGGCAGGAAAACTGAATGCAGGTTGCAATTTGCTCGAGCGTTTCAGAAAAATCTCTCTTGCCTAGATATGTGACAGCTGCACAGATTTGTTTTACGACTCAGTGGGAAACTGTAAAACAAATCCATTTTCAGTTTTATCTGACCAGTAAGTTATTAAAACTCCAGCCACAAACGGCCAACACACACACACACACATAAAAAGGATGAGACCAAAGGTATTTAAAAAGAGAGACTAAACAGACAGAGAGAGGCACTAAAAGCAACAGGCGGCTCAACAGGGTGAAGCTGCACAGTCGCAGCCTGGCTCGCTCCAGCAGGATGTACCTGGAGCCTGTGGTGGTGAGACTGTACAGGGATTTGTAGTAAAACAGATGCATGTCGGCTATTCCACCAAATGCCTGGAAGGATTGTGAGTTGTCTTGTTTTTAATATATTTTATAGTTTAGTTTAGAGCTGCAAATGACCCTAATGTTCAGTAGGTAATTACCTATCAATCAAATTTCACAAGCAAAGTGGGGTGATTAAAAGCATGCCTCTGGTCTTATGACATGTATTTAGTCTAAAAAGCTCTGTTCAGCTTGGCAAATATTTAGTTATGTGGGTTTACAGACAGCTAACTTAAATATCTTGATATTTTTTAAACAACATTTACATTACTCTAACAAATTAAAGTAGTGAAAAAACATTTTTTAATTGACTTTATTTTTATATTTATATCGAATATGTACCAATTATGAAAATAAAAAAAGAAGAGAAATTTGAGCAGTTCCATTTTTATGATTATGTTTGCTTCTTTAGTAATGAGGATATGTGAATGGGAAATTTTTTTAAAATCCATGAACACCGTACAGTCGCCGCATGAATTTACACAGTGAAGGATAAAGTCATGCCATCAGACCTGTTGGAGGCTTTTATAATAAAAAACAGGAAAATAATAGCTTGAATCTGGGGTGTCAAGGTGCTCCTCTCTTTGCATCCCCATCTCAGATCCAAAGACTTGAGCCAATTCATTCTGATTTCTACCTGTGCTTATCCCAGTCTTTCCCCTCTAACAGATGCAGATGCTGTGCACAGCGATGGACCTGTATTGCTCAATCCACCAGGAGCCTCCAGAGAGTACTGCACCATGCTTGACCCAGAAAAAAGCACTCTCACACACAGAGCTTAAAAATAGCTCAGTCACAATAATCCAAGCATACGCAAGCAGAGTGCTTGACGTTCGTTCAGAGAATATGCTCATTCCGGGCTAAAAATACAGTTCCTACCCCTCTCTAGGTGGTGACGCAACAGCGGCACACGCCAATGCACAGAGCTCATTTCAAAGCAACCTCCAAAGTTTTTGCTCCTGTTCCTACAAAGTGAAGTCAGCTACGGCTCCACAATAATTCAAGTTGGTTTGCTCTCTGCATTGTCTGTGTAATCCCACCAACATGTGGCCAGCGGTGGCCAGTTTTCCCGATGAGAGGGGTTTAAATTTACATCCTGAAAGATGTAGGCTGAATTATGTGGGAAAAGTGTGTTTGCAAAATCAGGTTACGCATGTCTCAAAGCAAACTCGGGCAACGGACGTCACTGAAAGGTTTCTTCAGAGGAACTTGTTGCACATCCAAGCCAAACCCAGAGGAAGTTCAGAACGCGGCTTTATCTGTGTGGAAAGCCTCAAAACAAACGAGACAAGAACAGAAGGAAGCTACTTGTTTGACAAACCACATTTCCATCACAGGCCACTCTTTGCATCTGTTTTTCAGCAAAGTGGGATTACTGTAAAAACGGCTAGGCTTTGCAGTTTAA